GCACAAAGAGCTTTATGCCTCCTAGGCAATGCCAATGCTGCCATCTCGATGGAACGGTGGAAGGCCGTCCTTTACAAAATTGATGGCAAGCTTGCCGAATTAGGCATTAAAGAACTTGGTCCTGAGGCTCAAGGGATGTTATTTGGAGACAAGTTCATAAAAGAACTAAGTAAACATGTTTCCGTATTTACGATGCTAACCAAAGCGTCGTCCTCCCTTTGCAAGGTATTTCGCACACGTTTTTCTGGGAGAGCTGGTCACTACAGAGGCCGAGCGACTGGCAGAGCCACTTTCACGGGCTACGACCATCGGACTCTTGGAACTTGGGCAATACCCGTTTCCACCACAGCAGTGGATCTGCTTCCCTCCGTGGTCGCACTGCTACAGGTAATGGACCCTCCCTTATTCTCATATACCTATTGCAGGCCTGTTAACCATTTTTTCCCAACAGTGGTCTCAACTCACTCGGAATCCTTGGGTCCGTCAGACAGTGTCCAGATTCCATCTGGACTTCACACACAATCCGATACAAACCTTTCCTCCTATTCCGATCAAAATGTGGCTGAAGAAGAGTCGACTTTACAGATCAAACTCGACAAATATATTTACCAAGGGTGCTATGGAAAGAGTTTTTGGCCCACATGTCTTCATAAGCAACATGTTTCTAGTCAGGAAAAAAAATTGTGAGTCTTTCGACCGGTTATCAATCTGAGAGATCTGAACAGGTTCATCAAGTACAGACATTTCAACATGGAGGGAATCCATTTGTTACGAGACCTACTCTGCGAGGGAGATTGGTTCTCCTGTTTCGATTTAAAGGACGCATACCTCACGGTACCGGTCACACCAGCCCATCGCAGCCTCCTTCAGTTTCGTTGGGAGCGGGAACTATGGCAATTCACCTACCTTCCCTTCGGCCGATCTTCTGCACCCTGGTGCTTTATCAAACTAATGAAACCAGTAATGGCATTACTACTCTCCCAGGGAATCGGTCCATCATATATCTGGACAATATCCTCCTCATGGCACAGGACCAGGAGACTACACCTTCATATGGTCATGACCTCAACTTTGCTACAGAACCGTGGCTTTGTGATCAATCACCAGAAATAATTTCTCATTCCGTTTCAGACAGTGCAATTCCATGGATTCCAGATAGATTCTGTTCAGTCAGTCCTACAACAAAAATCAAATTAATCAAAAAGGACATTTGGAGGTTGCTGGTGTCACCATACTTCTGCCTGCGGAACCTAGCCCGCATCATCAGCTTACTCTCTGCTTCAATACAGGCAATATTTCCTGCCCAGTTACACTACCGAGCGCTACAACTGCTAAAAACACGTTTTTGCACCAGTCGACATCTTACAATCAGTAGATCACACGCACAGACTAGGTCTGGCTAAAAATCAACTGGTGGCTACATCATATGGAAACTTGGGAGAGCCATCTTCAGATCGCAACCCAATTTCATTCTGGAGTCAGATGCCAGCCTTCTCGGATGGGGCCTGACTTGCTCGGAACATTCTACTGGAGGACTCTGGTCCCAATCGTAATGAGCACTGCATTTCAATTGCCTCAAACTAATTGCAGGCTCCTTCGCAAACCGCAGTTTCGCCAAGGACGTCTACAATTGTTTCTTGGTTCTGAAGATGAACAATGTGTCAGCGGTTCGCTACGTGAATCGTCTAGGAGGTTCCAAATCAAAGATGCTTTCGGACCTGACGAAAGAATTGTATCAGTTCTGCCTGGACCGGAATATCTTCCTTTGAGCGGATTATCTACCAGGCTCAGACAACCTCATCGCAGACTGGTTTTCCCCACACTGGAGAGATTCCAGCGATTGGCAACTGGACCTGCAAATCTTTCACTGTCTGCAGATCTGGCAGGGACCATTCAGCCTGGATCTGTTTGCATCTCGTCTCAATCGTCAGACGGACGCATTTTTTTAGCTGGCTGCCAGATCCAACGTGCTTTGCAATCGATGCCTTCTTACAGACATGGTCGACGTCCGAAGCATATGCATTCCCTCCATTCTCTATGATCCCACACACACTACAGTATCTCAAAACTCAAGGCATGAAGATAACTCTGGCGACCCCCCCCCTATGGCGAGCCCAGTTTTGGTACCCCTACCTTCTGGAAATGTCAGTGGAATTTCCCCTGCTTCTACCCACCTCCTGTGATATCCTCAGGGACCTGGCAGGCAACTTTCACCTGTTGGCACTTCAGAATCATCTCCGACTAGTGGCTTGGACAGTTTCAAAGGATCCAGGAATGTTTCAGGTCTTTGGGCTACTGCTCAGACTCCTTTGGGACTAATGGACCCCAGGAACTAGACGCTCTTACCTCTCTGCATGGCATCGATTGAGTTGCTGGTGTTTGGAAAGGGACATTGATCCCTTTTCAACGTCTATTATTATGCATTTCCATTTTTTTTTCGATCAGGGCAAATCCTATTGGTCTATTAACGTGTTTAGCTCCGCTATTTCTGCAGCCCACGGTCCTACTGACAATTCTTCAGTAGGCAAACATCCTTATGAGTGTAAGCTCTTGCGTGGCATCCGCATCGCAAGGCCTCCAGCTCCTAAATATAGTCAATTCTGGGATGTGGCTCTTATGCTAGCATTCTTAGAATCTTGGCCAGATAACGAAACGCTCTATCTACGCCACTTGTCAGCCAAATTAGCACTTCTTCTCTGTTTAGCCTCTTTCCGAAGAGTCTCCGACATCAGGGCTTTTGACTTTCATGCCCTCGATTTCACTCCACATCACTAGACGCACCAAGACCAATTCATCTACAATGATTTACCCTTAATTTCCAGAGAAACCCCTCCTCTGTGTAACCCGTTGTGTAAGACACTACATCTCTTGCACTACCCCCTCTTAGGGCACCTACCGGGCCCCTCATTGTCTTATGTGCGACCACACAAGCCAGTGTCCTGCCCTAATATTATTCGGTGGATTAAATGACTTCTAGCTCTAGCTGATGCATCTTTTGAGGCTCGCTCTGTTCGAGGCGCTGCCGCTTCCTCTGCAGTTATGGCTGGAGGCTCCCTGGCGGAGATTTTATCCTCCGCTGATTGGTCCAGAGAGTCTACTTTTCGTACTTTTTATTCTAGGCAGTCTCAACATGTTTCTCTATCCATGTTAAAACAGCAAATATGAAGCCTCCTGTCTTGCCCTTAAATTTGGGATTATTCTAACATTTAGTGACCGAATAATCTAAATTTTATTAAAGACAGGAGGCGAATATTTTCCCAGCCTGAAATACTTTTACACACCCTTCTAGGTAAGTATCTCATAGTGCCTCCATTTCTAATTTAGTGGTTAGCATGCTCTTGGCTTGTCCTTATTTAACCTATACTTGTCATTTGATTGGTTACTTCATATTTCTTGCATTCAATTTGAACATTATCTTCATTGCATTTTTTAGTTTTGATTTCTCTTGCCCAAGAAGACCATACTTTCACAATGTTTCTCTTTCCTTCTAGTGTGAAGATCTTTCGTCATCCTTGTTTAAAGTTTCCTCCACCTGTTGAGCACTGGTTTTCTCCTACTTGATCTTACATCGTTATTTACTCATCGTTCTGTTCTTCGTTTACCTGGTTGACTTTATGGGCTGTTCAGCTACATCAAGAAAGAGGAGTTGGGAGGAGCCTGATAGCAGTTTATATTACTGTGATGCATGCGGATTGGTTAAACTTTTTTACACAGTTAACTACTTGTTTGCTGCTGGGAGTTTCAGTAAAGAAAAATAAGCAAATATTCTCCTTCTGTCTTTAATAAAATTTTGATTATTCGGTCACTACATGTTAGAATAATCCCAAAGTGTAGCCAATATTTTATACCTATACTATTATCACCAATGTAATCGTGTTTTATTGCCTCTATTTATCTCTCGTCCCTTGTGTGGGGGCTTTTACTTGCAGCATATATTATTCGTCGTTGGCGCATGGGACTAACATTATGCAGTTTGAAATGGAGCTCTGGGCTGCCTAAGCCACGTTTGATACTATGTATAGGCAACGTTTCAAAATTGAAAGGCTGCACCATAATCACTTATAAAAAGCAGTGAATATCCTTTAAAACATATCTTTCCGATCATAGCCTTTAGCAAATTCTGTGAATTATTGCAATTTGTCCAGTTACAGTATTTTTCCAATATATTCTTGCATCAGACATTCTTTATATTATAATTACACATATTATTAGTAAAGTATATTTTTTTCAGTAAGAAGGCTGGCAGTGCGTGTACCAACATTTCTGCAGATGTTAACCCGAAATGGTTAAATCACGTGACATTCCTTCAATCAGTAGAAAAAAAATAATGTTCTCATTTCTATGGCAACTAGTCAAAATAAAAGCAGAATATTGTGCTGAAATGATTTGAGCTATTTATAAGCAGCCAAGACACACTCACACTCCCTGTTTGAAAGTCTCAGATTGGTAAAGACAGAGTGTGGTTCGAAAGGTATTGGTTGGCTGAGCACACTGGGAGCTACCTGCCAAGATGCGAGCCAGGTCTGCACACTTACTAAAGGAGTTTAAAACACACTTATGTCGTCTCACTTTAATGGCATTTATCTAGACACTGTGAAAGCTGATAGTCTAGAAAAGAAATGGAAAGTTATGATGCGTTAACTGTTTTCTATATAGATTTTACTTTTTTTTTTTTTTTAAAGCAGTAGTTCACATCATCTTCATGGCAAACTAACAGTCTAGGATCCAAGTCTGCTCCAATGACCAAACCTAGACCGGTGGTGTGGTTTGAAGACTATGCTGGGTCTTCCTGATAGCTTATGGGTATGCATAGCACATAGTTACAAAATCTATTTTTTTTTCCCACAATAATTCTATCTACACATTTAGTCCAAAATTTCAAATCCCATTATTGTCCAGATTGCTAAAAATGCTTAATTTGTCAAGTTTTTTTTTTTTTTTTAATTATAATCAAAGTACTGTACAGAGTGATATAATGGTTTTAAAAGGTAAATATTTGCCACATTTTGTCTGCTGGGATTATAACTTAATACAGAACCGCTACATATGTTTGTAGAAAGTAGACCCCTCTCCCCAAGGTTATTTAACTAGGAGAACTTTGCAATTAACCATTTTATTACCAACCTCTGCCAAATCTGATAGTTCTATGTAATGTTTTTGACATATTTCAGCTAGCAATTTCAGAAAGTGTGTAGTCCACAACGGCAAAAACCCTATATTTGTAAAGAATTTAATTACAGACAAATAGTGGCCACAAACTATTTACCCCCATTAATCCAAACATGACATTAGACAAAGTAGTGTCTAGTTTGTCTCACAATAAATCTAAGGTTGACGAAAGTCGGAGCTAGGTCTTCAACTTTTGTCCAAGGCCAGCCGCCGTCACTTGGGATACAGACATTAATCTATGCGGGATCCTCCAATGTAATACAGCATTAACGTGCCGGCTGGAGCTGAAGAGGATGCACAGGGCAAAAATGGTGGCAGCAATGAGGGACATCTTCAGGTAAGTGAACTACCCACAAATGTCTCCTTTATTCACAACACAACTAATAAAACAGCACGATGAAATGCGCTTTATTATAAATCCATAAAACCTTCCCATTCACCCTCCAGCTCCCAGACCATCACCAGAGAGGGTACTTTTGGGGGTCTTTGCAAAACTCCCTGAAAATGACAGATAAGCATTAAGGAAACAGAAGTACGGTACATAAATCCATTTATAATGAGTGCTCCTGGTGCCTTTTTTCAGATTCTGACCACTTCACATTTCATCAAGCAATATCCTGGTCTCACTGTGGCTGAGATTATCAGGATGGATGAAGCATTGAGAGCCCTACTGTACATGCTTGGCAATTGGCACAGTGCATCATAAGATTCTCAGGGAAGCTTTATATCACATCTTCAAGCCAAACGTGAAGACTCGACATTTTGTTTTCATTAGGAGACCCTCCAGCGGCTCTCTGAATGCGAGAAATTGCAATGTTACGTTTGTCAGTCAGTGTGCATCTAGTGGCTGTTAAACAGCAGGGACAGCATCTGGGCACTGTGTGTCACTTATCGGAGTCCTTGCAGTCTGGCCTCTCCAGTGGGCTGTAATAGTTTTGGTGCTTAGAGTGCCTCTTTAAACACACACCTAGCTGAAGAGAAAATGACAAGGTTTGTAAATGCCAGATTCACTGAAAGATCTTGGGAGTGCACATGCTTGTTACATTACTCACTCGTCCCTGTACAAACTAGCAATTTTAAGACATTTTGTCTGTCAATGCGAAGGAATACCCTCGGGCCCGTATCAGTATTAACCCCAGTAGAAGCAAGCAAACACACACATTTAAACAACCCAAACTGGAGCCAATAGTATGGCATGGGTCAATGAACAGGAAACAGCAGAAAGCAACTGATCCCATTCGAATTAATATTTTATTATTTATATAGCGCCAGCAAATTCCATAGCGCTTTACAATGGGATGTAATACTTTGTAACAAACCCCCACACACATTATTTTCTATTTCTTATTTAATGGTTTACTTACGGCTGAGTGCAATGTATATTACAACTAACAGGTTTGTCGGTAAACAAAGTGTTTATATTGTCATAAAGGAGCGATTAGGGCGTTGTGTATAAACATTGACAAAGTTGCTCTTTTCAGTTTTTTGGGGCTTTTCCTATTTGAACGTATTTATTCTCTCATTTCCTTACTGCACCTTTCTGCCACTGTTTCCTGTACCAATTCGGTCCTTTTATGTTCACAAAGATGTCGCAGTGAAAAAGGACCAGAAAGGTTTCTGCCAATGTCAATAGGGTGAATTTTCTGAAGTAGGTTGGGAGCTTTAACCGTCTTAGGCCTGGCACACTGTGAATAACAAGGGTTATTTTTCATACAGTTCAGATCTGTCATGTAAGAGGACGTTCACTTAATTTACAACTTTGCAAAAGTTGCAAACCCATCTCTAAACCCAACACTGTGAGCTTCAAACCTGGAGCCTCCAGAAATCAATTCAGAATAAACCTCAATGCCACCAAAGCCATTCGTGCTCTTAAAGCAGCTCAGTCCCGGACGCCTAGTCTGATCAAAGTGACAGACGCTTTAACCCTTCGAGGGTGTGGTGGCGGTGGTGTATGTATGTGTATATATAGTTCCAAAATGTGCTTCTAATTGCTGAAATTCAGAAAATACAGGATTACTCTGGTTCTAATTTGTTTTGTAACAGATCACAGAATTGTGATGACAATTGAAAACATTATTATTTGATCCCCGAGTGCATTAAAGTGATGGGAGTTGAGTTAGCCATTTTGACAATGACTCATGAGCATCTCGACGGCACAGGGGTGTTTAACCACATCCACCCTGTAAGCACCTGCCCCTGGTGGCTTCTTTCTGCCTGAACTACTGGTCCTGCTTTTAGGGAGGAGGTCTAATGACTACCCCCGTAGTGACACAGGAGAAGAAAAAAGGAAAGCTGTCCTAACAGATGTTTAAAGCTCCCAAATAGAAAATCAAACAAAAACTATTGTTTGTTTTGAATAAAATGGTTTTTTTTCAGGACACAGAGCACACTTGCATAGGAAAAGCTTACTGGATTTACTTTTCCCAACCAATTTTCTGGTTCTGATTAAACTGGGATCGCTGAGCTCCTCCAAGGTGAGATCATTCGTGTTACGTTACTGATAATTATCTCAATACCCTTATTTCACATATCCACAAATTATCTTCCATGCAAACACCTTGTGAGCAGGCCAGAAAATCCCATTACAGCTTTACTCTGGCCTTTCTAGGCATTTTTTTCAGATTCTTTAACAATGTCAGCTCTTTGTTTAAAAAAAAAAAAAAAAAATGCTTAGAGGGAATATTACCTTATGGTAATATCTCATCAACCGCACCAACAGTTACAAACATGTCCATAATATCTGCCACTGGTAATTACTCTATTTAACAAGCAACTTACTTGATTAGGTTTCATTCTCTATGCAGTGAAATTAAAGTTAAAGCAAAGTGGTTTTCCTGACATTATAGTGCCCTAAGGGTGCCCCCACCCTCAGCGTCCCCCCTCACTTACCTTAATCCAGCGCCGGTGACCTCTCCTCCCCCGCGGTGCACATTCAAACAGTCCGTAGGAAAGCATTTCTCAATGTTTTCCCAAGGATGTTCTGCACGCTGGATGCGAATTTCGCATCCAGTGTCGCAGATGCGCCACTAGAGGTTGGATTAACCTCTGAAACTGCTATGTTTACATTTGAAGGGTTAAAACCTGGGGGACTTGGCACCCAGACCACTTCAGCTCAGAGTCCCTTTTAGTGACCAAATTTTTAGACACGAATTGCTGATTTTATAAAATTCTGCAAATCCATTAGTCACAGCTTTTTTTTTAAAAAAACACTGATTTCAATTCACTACTGTTTGGGGTTTAGTGAATAAACATCAATAAAACCACAGGAAGTAAGGGGTGGCCAGTGATGAGTAAGACGTGAACTCTTTTTGCAGTTTCCCCAGTAAGTTCCCCTATACAATAAGATGACAAGCAGATAGTGTTTGCCTGGAGACACTGAGTGCATTACTAAGACAAAGGATCCAGTGGCAGCATTGTGTCTCAGGTTTCAGAGGGAGGGGGGTCAGCCCAGTACTTTAAACTATGACATAACCATGAGAAAGATTGGAAGGAACCTTTAATATCAAAGCTATTCCACCCACATCCAAAAAGACGGGCAATGATCATCTTGTCATTCTTTCAGAGATGCTTGCAAGCGTTTATGACCATGGATGCAACTGTGTCTCCTACCTATTCTGCATCTATAAGTAATGAATTCAAAAATGCAGGCTTAAATATCCTGACTATTTTAATATTATTGCTCCCTTTAGTTTGTGATTTCATCAAATCTTCCCTTTCAGCCAGCCCTCCTCCCCCCCACACCAAATATTTTGTCTACATTCCAGATTTAACATTTCCATGAGTTCCGCTCAGTGTTTTGTTCCAATACATTTTGGAACACCCAAATCCTTTATCGGATTCAAACTTCAATTCTGTCCAAGGTAGATTTTTTTTGGTGGTGCTTCAACCTGCACCCGTTGGCAAGACACCCTAAATACAGATAGGGACTGTGAAATGTACATAAGGGGCAATTTAGAGAGATCTCTGCATTACTACAAACAAATCCTCATTACCATAAGGAGCCCCCTGTTCATACAGACACGAACAAGCTTTCATATACAATAAGGAAGGAGCTCATCACACTAACATCCTGCAAGCAAATAAATCAATGAATCAGCAAGACAACAGAATGGGTAATTATGAGTTTATAATGAACAAACCAGTGCTAACAAAAAGAAATACTTCCGTTTATTTAACTTGTTATAAGAAATAAAATGAAACATTCTCCATACTGTTGGTAAACATGGCTTGTTAACAATCTCATTCTATGAAAGTCACCCAGAAATGAAGCATAGTTAACATCACCCAGCGGCCCCATTCCCTTTGTAATAGTACATAAGGTCATCCGATAAAATGCATAGCTTCATTAAGTTATCAGCCCTTTGTGTTCCAGAATGTGTAGCGTTCCTGATTGTAGGACAAGTGTGGACATCCAGCTTCCTCGACCAATAGATTATAAATATACTTCCCGCAGAGCCATCCTTCTATACGAGACGGAGGGATTCTAAACACAATAAGGGTAAGGGACCTGCAGACAGCACTCGTGAGGTCTTAATCCTCAATAATAAACTAGCTGGGTGTTAAAGTGTAAATTGTCAGAAATTCTAAGGGAATTCCATATTGGACTGTTCTCTAAGAACTTTCAGCGAAATGAATACCAAATCTGTATAAAACGGGAGATCCACAACTGATGGTGTTTATGTACTGCATGTCCAGTGCCCCCTAGTGACAGTACATGAGAAGGCAGGTACACTAGGTGCAAAAACAAATCTAGAATCACAGATACAATTTACAGAATCCATAAACTGGATACAGAGTACTCAGTAATGTTTCACCTACAGAATAGTCTGCTTCTTGCCAGCTATACATATAACAGCATGCACACTGCAGATCTGCAGAGCATGTACCCACAGAGCAATAGCATGACCAAGGGAGAGGAGGTATGTCTCTCTTGGCCGGCGTTACGCTTACCAGGAGCAATGAGAATACAAACCCGTAGTCTATGAAGGTACAATTGAGACTGTGGAATGCTCCATAGACAGTCTGAATTTCACAACCGTGACTTATGATGGCTGTTGGGACTGGACAACAGTTGGGAGTGTAGCACCGCATTTTGTCAACCTCAGGCTTAACAAGAAGCAAATTAGTCCCTGCTTTGTCTTAAAGTTTCAATGAAATTCCAAAGTAGTCTTGATCAGTATTACTTTAAGATGTGGTGGTTACATGCACCACGTATCTAACCAAAGATAGAATGTGTCCACAAGGTCTGACATCACAGACAAGCCTCGGTCATCTGAAACATGCACTCAGAGATGGATACACATCTTCGATACAATGCATCTAATCAAAAAGATCTTAAAAATGGCAGCATACATAGTGCAAACGTGAGCAAAAAACGCACTAAAAAGCAGTAATCATTTATATGAAAGGAATACAAGAATATTTTGTTGGATTAAAGGGACAATGTAGTGCCAGGAATACAAAGCTGTATTCCTGGCACTACCGCTTCCCCTGCCTCTCCCTCCCTTGCAAAGCCCCCCATATTCCCGACAAGTGTGGTCTAATGCGCATGCGCTGCTAATGCCACGTGCACATTAGACTTCCATGCAGAGCGTGAGGACATCCAGCATCAGATACCGGACCAAAGGTCTGTTTTAATCCAGAAAAAGCCTCCAGTGGCTGTCAAGTAGACAGCCACTGCGGGCAGATTTAGAGCTGCAATGTTTCTCTGGAACTGCAATATTTTACATTGCAGCACTAAGTTCAAAAGGGACACTGCACCCAGACCACTTCAATTAGCTGAAGTGGTCTGGGTGCCTACATTGTCCCTTTAAAACAGATACTTCCTTAAATAAATGCTGAGCAAATGTGGTAAGGATCAAGTGAGTGCCAGACAAAAAGCAAGAAAGTACCAGGAAGGGGTATCAATTTCAGTTTGGAGGGTCTATAAGAAAGTCACGCAAGCCAAACTGATACTCACAAAAACTACCTGAAGCAAGCTACATTCAAAAAAAAATATGAAAGGCATATGAAGAAAAAAAAAAAAAAGTTGTTTTCATAAGGTGTAGATACTGGCACTTTTAATCCAACAGAGTCAAACATCTCAAGCAATGCCCTTAGTGTGTTTAATGTCAGCGTAAAACGGAGTACCGGAGGTGTATGCAAAGCAATGCGATGGGCACTACCCTGGATCTGAAAGGGTTAATGGCTCCCTTACGTGAGAAGGCACTTCATGGGCCAAATCTAACAGGGAGCCGGCGGTTATGAAGCAGTTCCAGCTGGAAGCCAGCCATCTCAGGCCTATGCAGAAAGGCAAGCAGTATGGTTTCAGGGGCCAGGGGGTCGAGTTATAGGCACAGACACAATTGAATGCAATTATAGATCTATGTGGGTGAAAAACCCACCTCTGCCTTGAATCAGTACAATCCAATTGGCTCTGGATGCCTACAGCGGGGGATATTTTCATTTTTTTTTTTATAATCCCTTGATATATAGAGGTCATTATAAACATTTAGACACTGGAAGCCACACACCCAACTAACCTAAACATATTAAAAACAAAAAGCAACTGATTTACTGGCAGTCTGTGGATGGTAACAATTAACCCACTGTGTGGAGAATGGGGAATACTGTGGTATAGACACTTTACTGCAGCCCAATGAATCTCATTCACCCGAGACGGTTACATGCCTAATAACTAACCCTTCGTTACTGACACTCTTACATGGCATAGGGCAGTCAATGCACCAATATACTGCTCACCATAGCAGTTCACAAAGGGCTTGCACGTCTCCACCTTTTTTGTGGTCTCACATAATGCACTGATGGTATATAGCAGCAGAGAAATGAGTAGTGTGCTCAATGTAGTAGTCACTGGCACAGGCTGGATTAATTCTTCAAGGTAATGGGTAACCTGAAGGTTTAATAGATGGGCACCCAATCACTGTCTAGGTTAACGGAACGCACGGACCACGTTATCTGCTACAAAGTGAGAATCCGCATGGAATGGTCTACCTTTAAAGGCACATGATGTGCAAGTCTTTGTAAGACAACTAACCCCGGATTATATCATTTTATAATGCCAACACATCCCACAATACTTTACAGTGGCAATATAAAGAGTCTACAGTGTTATTTATGTAAAGTCGGATTTGTTGGGAATTTAACATTTTAGTAGCCAAACTGGAATATTTTGGAGGATTCTGACAATTTGGCTACTGCAGCCTAGAACTTTAAATTCACATTCAATTCTCACAATTCACACTTTACTGAGTAACCCTGCAGATAAGCGACAACATAATATTGTCAATAGAAAACAAAGGACATAAAATTGGCTTACAGTACAGACAGGAACCCACAGAACAATTAGAATATACAAGCAACACTGCATTCTGGGAAATATAGCATGTACTCTTAAACTCCTCCAATTTAGGACTAAGGTATGGATTTAATTTAATCACAGAGAAAAGAGGACAGCAACTGAACAGGTCTCACACTTTCCTCTCGCACTTAAAGGAACACTCCAGGAAGCATAACCACTATAGCCTGAAGGGTGCTCTGGCACTCTCCCAGTATAGTCTATTCAAACAAACTTCACAGGGTCCAGCTTGGCATCCCATCTTCCCAAGCTGGAAAAGCTGTATGTCAGCGTTGGTGATCATTCACTGGCTGAGAGCATCAGCTGGGCGTTCTCAGAGAGTGAATGAGTACAACAGACAGATATCCAGCTGGTAGAACCCAGTAAAGTATCAAAGTCTACTAAAACGCACCTTACAGATTATGCTGTCAGGATGCAAGGGCACTCCAAGCACCATAACCACTACAGCAGGATGTTGTAAAACAGTAATTACCCAAACAATGAGTTGCGCAGAGTTGGCTATTTTAATGATAATAGTTGGATAAAAATGAGAAACTCAGCAGTTAGACTTTGTAAAACTTGGCTATTTTGTATAAATCTGCCTGCCAGCTTAGTGCACTGTCCCCCATATATTTACAGAATCTGTTCATTGTTCACTGTGACCCTAAAGACTCATTAATCAGTCCTTCTCACCCTGGAGATATGATGCAGTAACAAGATGGGAAAAATAAAATAAATCCCCTGAGCTCTTGTAGAACTAGACGATGCTACACTGATCCTGAACCGTACAAACCATGCAAGACGCAGTTCTGCCATTGCTTGTGGACAACCATTTATCTGCCCCTGAGTTTACTAGATCTACCTACAAGTGTCATTTAAAAACCATGCCAACCACCTCATCACACCTATTCACAGTATTATCTCTGCATTCAGCAGACAGACTGTGCTTAGAATGGAAAAAAGACAAATTCTAATTTCTGATGGAACACACAGAACACAATGTAAATAAATTAACCAACTCTTCTGGTTTGTTATGGATACAAAAGAAAGGATTAATTCTAACCTTTATTGTTGTACAAGTTTTTTTGTTTTTTTAAATTTATTTGCAGAAGTTGTAAATAATTGCTGTTGGTGGCTCTTTTTCCACATTAGTCGTGAGAACAGAAGAGGGCTATACGATAATACAAGCAAAATGTAGTGACTGGGTCAGTTTAAAATGATATATGTCACAAACATGTTTCCTTGACACGGTCTGTGCGCAATGATGGGGCTTCTTCCATTTTCTATACATTTTTAAGAAAAGAAATAAATCAGCAAGCATTCATTAAATGGAGAGGATGGTAGATGTGTTACCTGATGGAAAGGAAAGGGGAACATTCACTTTAGAGGTTAAAATGGAGGGGTGGGAAGAGGGTAAAGTGGTTTATGTTGCGTGTAAAGGTGTTGGGATGGTGGTGGGTGCTGGGAGGGGGAAGTGGTGGAGGGTGAAGGTCGCAAACAAAGACGTTCAACAACATTTGCTCTTCCAGCCCGTGACGCCACTGCCGCTGCTGATATCTACATTTTCACTGTTTGGTTCTTTAACTGGAGTCTGCAACACACAACAGAACATGGCAATGCCGGTTAGAGAGGGCTTATACCTAATCAAAAACGCAATATTATCAGAAATTTCAAGACTTCCAAAGAAACAATGCTCGTTTCCACAGTCCAAACTGATCACTTGGCCTCAAAACTACATCCCTCACCTGGTTTAAACAGCAGTTTGTGTTCTTTTGCAGCATCCAAGTGTATAGGGCCATTTCCCACCATTATCTGGAGTAACCTGAACCTGCCATCTTTTCTACACTGAGCTCTCCATAACCTCTATACACTATCTCTGGGTATGTTACCTAGTGTCCGCTCCTCACAGCCTCACTATACACTACCCTATGGGTATGTTACCTAGTGTCAGCTCTCCATAGCCTCACTATACACTACCTCTGGGTATGTTACCTAGTGTCAGCTCCTCACAGCCTCACTATACACTACCTCTGGGTATGTTACCTAGTGTCAGCTCCTCACATCCTCACTATACACTACCTCTGGGTATGTTACCTAGTGTCAGCTCCTCACAGCCTCACTATACACTACCTCTGGGTATATTACCTAGTGTCAGCTTCTCACAGCCTCACTATACACTACCTCTGGGTATATTACCTAGTGTCAGGTCCTCACAGCCTATACACTACCCTCTGGGTATGTTACCTAGTGTCAGCTCCTCACAGCCTCACTATACACTGCCTCTGGGTATATTACCTGGTGTCAGCTCTCCATAGCCTCACTATACACTACCTCTGGGTATGTTACCTAGTGTCAGCTCCTCACAGCCTCACAATACAGTACCTCTGGGTATATTACCTAGTGTCAGCTCCTCACAGCCTCACTATACACTACCTCTGGATATATTACTAGTGTCAGCTCCTCACAGCCTCACTATACACTACCTCTGGGTATATTACCTAGTGTCAGCTCCTCACAGCCTCACTATACACTACCTCTGGGTATATTACCTAGTGTCAGCTCCTCACAGCCTCACTATACACTACCTCTGGGTATATTACCTAGTGTCAGCTCCTCACAGCCTCACTATACACTACCTCTGGGTATATTACCTAGTGTCAGCTCCTCACAGCCTCACTATACACTACCTCTGGGTATATTACCTAGTGTCAGCTCCTCACAGCCTCACTATACACTACCTCTGGGTATGTTACCTAGTGTCAGCTCCTCACAGCCTCACTATACACTACCCTCTGGGTATGTTACCTAGTGTCAGCTCCTCACAGCCTCACTATACACTACCTCTGGGTATATTACCTAGTGTCAGCTCCTCACAGCCTCACTATACACTACCTCTGGGTATATTACCTAGTGTCAGCTCCTCACAGCCTCACTATACACTACCTCTGGGTATATTACCTAGTGTCAGCTCCTCACAGCCTCACTATACACTACCCTCTGGGTATGTTACCTAGTGTCAGCTCCTCACAGCCTCACTATACACTACCTCTGGGTATATTACCTAGTGTCAGCTCCTCACAGCCTCACTATACACTACCTCTGGGTATATTACCTAGTGTCAGCTCTCCATAGCCTCACTATACACTACCTCTGGGTATATTACCTAGTGTCAGCTCCTCACAGCCTCACTATACACTACCTCTGGGTATATTACCTAGTGTCAGCTCCTCACAGCCTCACTATACACTACCTCTGGGTATATTACCTAGTGTCAGCTCCTCACAGCCTCACTATACACTACCTCTGGGTATATTACCTAGTGTCAGCTCCTCACAGCCTCACTATACACTACCTCTGGGTATATTACCTAGTGTCAGCTCTCCATAGCCTCACTATACACTACCTCTGGGTATATTACCTAGTGTCAGCTCCTCACAGCCTCACTATACACTACCTCTGGGTATGTTACCTAGTGTCAGCTCCTCACAGCCTCACTATACACTACCTATGCTAGTATATTACCTAGTGTCAGCTCCTCACAGCCTCACTATACACTACCTATGCTAGTATATTACCTAGTGTCAGCTCCTCACAATACACTACATCTGGGTATATTACCTAGTGTCAGCTCTCCATAGCCTCACTATACACTACCTCTGGGTATATTACCTAGTGTCAGCTCTCCATAGCCTCACTATACACTACCTCTGGGTATATTACCTAGTGTCAGCTCCTCACAGCCTCACTATACACTACCTCTGGGTATGTTACCTAGTGTCAGCTCCTCACAGCCTCACAATACCTCTGGGTATATTACCTAGTGTCAGCTCCTCACAGCCTCACTATACACTACCTCTGGGTATGTTACCTAGTGTCAGCTCCTCACAGCCTCACTATACACTACCTATGCTAGTATATTACCTAATGTCAGCTCCTCACAGCCTCACTATACACTACCTATGCTAGTATATTACCCAATGTCAGCTCCTCACAGCCTCACTATACACTACCTATGCTAGTATATTACCTAGTGTCAGCTCCTCACAGCTTTACTATACACTACCTATGCTAGATTACCATGTGTCAGCTCCTCCTGCAGCTCTCTATAACCTCACTATACACTACCTATAATTAGTACACTGTCAGCATATTACACTAGCAACATAGCAATTAATATGCAGATTACCCATACAGCTGGAATTAACACCCAGTTTGCATTTGGGATAAAGGGTGGGCATCAGGTAATTCTACTTTGTGCAGGGCACAGAATATGTAGCGGATCACCTGGTAATAAATATACAAAGCATGTCTGTAAAATAGTCATTCTGAGTTTCCATGGTGACTGCTTCCCTTTCAAAGCTTTCTTAGGATCTGTATCAGAGTGGAACAAACCATTCAGACTTCCAAGCTGCTGTTTAACAGCATTATTCATACCTTTCGAAGTATATCTTCCGCTAACGTGAGGAATGCCTTCTCAATGTTTACGTTTGCTTTTGCGCTAGTCTCAAAAAACCTAATTCCATGCTCCCGGGCAATCTGTGGAAGGAAAGCACACACGTTACACAAACAGCCAGGGAACAGTGATACCAAGTGCGGAAACGGTGGACAGAATCCATCTAAGGTAAGGTAGTCCCAGCTGGAAGCCAGCGTGCACAAAGAAAAGGGAAGAGTGGGAAAATAGCGAGTTACTACAGGAAGAGATGGAAAACCAAACAAGAGAAAGAGGGGAGCAGAAGATGAAATCAGGGGGTGAGGGAGAGATCATAAAGGAATCTGAGATGAGGAAATAAAGGAGTCACGTGGAGTGGTGTATGAAAGAGGGAGATAGAATAAGACATGGAGAGCAAGATGTGGAATGAGGATGTCAGGGAGACATGGGATAAGTTGGAAGATAGCGGAAATGACGTAGGGAATGTATTTGAAGGAAAATTAGAAAGGTGAGAATCAAATTGAAAGGAATTATTTTTATTTTCTCATCGTATTGTACCAGTTCAATAAAAAGATATATATAGCCAGTCATGTAAGGCCAATCTAAAAAATAATCTGCCCTCTCCATGGTTTATTGAAGATTTCCTGTTGAATTTTTCCTATTTAAATATACTTTTCCTAAAGTATTACTGTGGCGAAACCAACCTCACCACTGGGCATTGGAGAAGCCTGTTTGCCCGCCTCCTGCCTGCTGACTATGGCCCCTGGGAGATTTGGCCCTTTAAATACAGTATTTGGGCATATTGTATTTTATTATGCTGCTGCTGGCCCTTTAAGAACCATCTGGGGACATACTGTGGAGTTACTGGGTGGCCACCATTTCATGTATCAGAGGCGCATGGTGAGAACAATGGATGAAGCACATGGTGAGAACAATGGATGGCAGCCAATTTAACTCACAGACACTGTTTGGACTTTTCTACACGGTGCCATCTCGCCAGTATTTGGTGCACAAAAACATCGTTCAGTAGTTTTAAACTATACAACAGGGGACACATTCCGAGGATATACTTTTTATGGGATTATTGCATGTTTTGGGGTCCCTGTGATATGTTTTATAATACTGTATTTCTCTGCCTGTGATAATTAGATTAACCATTGTGTTCAGTAATCATATCACAGTCAGAGGGGAGGATTTTGTGTGGGAGTGTCTGTGTGTATTGTATGGATTGATTGGTTGTATTTCAAAACCCTGTGGGCAGTACTATGTTTGTGGATTGTGAATAAAAGAGGCTGTATGTGCCAGTACAGTCAGTTCTGCTTGACCTCAAAACGAAGTGTCGTCTCATTATTGGGAGAATTGGATTGTATGCCGATTGCCAGGAGTGTAAACTGATTGTATGCTTTTCCTGTTCAGCTGCTTACAGCATTCATAGGCTTGAGAGTATTTGTATGCTTCTCCGGTTCGGTGGTTGTGGTGTCTGCTGCAGTGCTTGGAGTCCTCAGGAAGCGCTAGGAGCATCCTTCAACGGAGGTACCCAGGTGATCCGTTACGATGACCTATTTAGGTTTCCAGCCTCTGAGATCAATCTGGACTCTCTGCCAATCCAATGTTTCCCCATAGAGAGGCAATGAACCAATGTATCTCTACCGGGAGCGTTCAGCGAATCCATGCAGAGCGCGGAGACGAACGTAGGTGCAGCACTGAAATAGGAATTATTTCTTGTGGCCGTCTGAGTCACAGCACGCATGAAAAGGCAGCATTTACTTGCAGGGACATGCTATAGACGTGGCATACCGTACATTACACTGTAGTGTCCTTTTAAGTTGTATTCCCTTGTTCCTGCTTGATAAGCCTGCATACCACATGCACATGAAGGTGGGGAATGATTTGAAGTTCACTCATCCCACAGCAGTTTACAAGGACACTATAGTCACCAGAACAACTACAGCTTCTTGTCACCGCAGACTTTTGGCAGTAAACATGTCTTTTTCAGAGAAAATACAGTATTTACATTGCAGCCTAGCGATAACTCCACTGGCCACTCAGATGGCTGCTAGAGGTGCTTCCCGGGGCAGTGCTGCACAGTGTGACTGATATTCAGTGTCTGCATGCAGGCACTCAACTTTCTTCATAGAGATGCATTGATTCAATCCATCTCTATGAAGAGTTACTAACTGGTCTAATCCCATTCCCTGCCCAACCTCCTTGTCAATATCAGCCAATCCAATGCTTTCCTATGGTGTGTAGGTCCATACAGTAAGCGGCTCCTCCCCTGCACGGTGTGTAGGTCCATACAGTAAGCGGCTCCTCCCCTGCACGGTGTGTAGGTCCATACAGTAAGCGGCTCCTCCCCTGCACAGTGTGTAGGTCCATACAGTAAGCGGCTCCTCCCCTGCACAGTGTGTAGGTCCATACAGTAAGCGGCTCCTCCCCTGCATGGTGTGTAGGTCTATACAGTAAGCGGCTCTTCCCCTGCATGGTGTGTAGGTCCATACAGTAAGCGGCTCCTCCCCTGCATGGTGTGTAGATCCATACAGTAAGCAGCTCCTCCCCTGCATGGTGTGTAGATCCATACAGTAAGCGGCTCCTCCCCTGCATGGTGTGTAGATCCATACAGTAAGCAGCTCCTCCCCTGCATGGTGTGTAGATCCATACAGTAAGCAGCTCCTCCCCTGCATGGTGTGTAGGTCCATACAGTAAGCAGCTCCTCCCCTGCATGGTGTGTAGATCCATACAGTAAGCAGCTCCTCCCCTGCATGCTGTGTAGATCCATACAGTAAGCAGCTCCTCCCCTGCATGGTGTGTAGGTCCATACAGTAAGCGGCTCCTCCCCTGCATGGTGTGTAAATCCATACAGTAAGCGGCTCCTCCCCTGCATGGTGTGTAGATCCATACAGTAAGCGGATCCTCCCCTGCATGGTGTGTAGATCCATACAGTAAGCGGCTCATCCCCTCCATGTTGTAGAGGTCCATACAGTAAGCAGCCCCTCCCCTTCATGTTGTAGTGGTCCATACAGTAACCAGCTCCTCCTCTTCATGTTGTAGAGGTCCATCACATGAAGACTAAGAATAGCACACACTTTTCTTACAGCCTTACAGTCTATTTACTTAACCCTATAATTAACGAATGTATTTATGAAAAATAAAGTTTAATGTAGAAATCCATATCTCTTTAACCTGTAACTGGATGCCTCCATCTTAACTCCCTGCTAATCATTATTATAGGGTTAAGGGTAAAATCACAGACCTCCCATTGCAAAATGGTCAGCCCTAAGAAAGATGCCCCAACAGAACTATGGAAAGATGATAGTGGATGCCAGCCATCAGATTCCTAGAGAGGCATTCTGTTTGTTCCAGACAGTGGAAACTGATCATTGGAGTTCATATTATTGGGATTCATCTTTTTTTGTGGGGGGTGGGTGATTGCATGTAATTTAATTTTAATTTAAGGCTCTATTCATTATGTCTGTGCTTTTAAGCTTGTCCCACTTGGAATTCCTCTCGAGAACTGGACAATCATTTAATTTCATATGTTAGATTATTTACTGAGTTATGGTTATCCATTGGAAGGAGTGTATTTCTATCTTGTAGAGGATAGATCATAATAAGTATAATTTATTCATTGTCCATCTATTTGTACCAAGTAAAGTTCACCGTGTGACTGGACTGGCATTTGTCCCAGTTATTAGAGGATTAATTAATTGGCAGATATAGGCTCTGTCCATTACAACTGGCAGCCCGCACACAGAGGAGAGGAGAAATTAAACAATATTTCTATTTCTCCTCCTTATTTGTAATATTCCCCCTGGCTGTGCTTTGTCTGAACTGCATTACAATTACAGAAAACAGAGCATCTCACGAAAAGGTTAGCAAGTGACAGGTCATTTTTTTTTTCAAATTTGTATTTTATTATATCTTCAATATGTGGTCAGGGGTACAGAAGGAAAAAAGGGTATGTTAGCGGGGGGATACAGGGTTACAGTATTTGACATAAACATCGCATTCACAGAATTTGCGGAACCTGAGTGAGTACATGGGGGGATTGGTACATGCATGCAGTTTGTCATAGTAACTTAAGTACATGTGTAGGCTGTTAATTCGTTGGGTGGTATACGCTATCGCCTAAGTGTCCATGCGGTTGGCTCAGGGTGGGAGCTATACCAGTGAATCCTCTCGTAGCCATGGTTGTGTGCATGAATAGTCTGCTCAGTCGACATAGTTATGATTGTAGGCTGTATAGCCTATGATGGTTCGTGCACTAGTTAGTCCCAGGAGTGCGGGTTAGGAAGTACCGGAGTTATGCCTCATTTTGATGAGTATGTTGGTGTATCAGTAGGTAGCCCTAGTGGTAGGGTGCAAACTTGGTAGGGGACGGGGGGGGGAAAGGCCAGTAGGGCCCGGAGGAGGGGGCGGGGTGAAGAAGGGGAGTAGGGGAGTGATGGAGAGTACTGATAGAATGTGGTATAAGCATTGTTCATGTCCTGTATGAGTCTTGCCCTCATTGGAGAACAGGGTCTGGCCCGGGTATACCTCCTTCCTTGTCCACCGCCCCCTCCCAATTCCCCCAACCCATATCGAATGCCAGTTTTTTTTGGGGGGATATTATTGCCATTCTTTCGTAGGTTTTGTATTGGGTGAGTTTGGTTTGAAGTTGGGCTAAGGATGGGCAGGTCTGTGATTTCCAATGTAGTGCTAGCAAGTTTCTTGCCGCCAGTATTGTAAGGGCTGCAATCTGTTTTTGTATTAGGGTGAGGTTAGTTGGGAGTAGGAGCAGGAGGCATGATTTTTTTGACAGTTGGAATTTAGGGATGTGAAGTTGGTCTAGTGTCTGTGATACAGCGGTCCAAAGTGGTTGGATACTACCGCAAGACCACCATAAGTGTTCCAAGGTCCCTGCAGTTGCGTTGCACCGCCAGCAAGTGTTGGGCGTATTGGGGTATATACGGTGGAGTCTCTGTGGTGTCATATACCAACGGTAGAGGAGTTTTTTGTGGGCCTCGATATGTGTGTAGCACTTGGTCCATTTAGAGAGACCGTTGAGGGCGCGTAGCCAGTCGTAGTCTGTCAGTGCTGTCCCGCAGTCTGTCTCCCAGTGGAGTTTGTAGGGGTGTGATGTGGGTGTTGAGAGTTCCTGCCATGCCTTGTAACATAGTGTGAGTGCTTTGGGTTTTGTGGGTGCCACCCAACATCTGTCTAGGAGTAAGTGGGAGGCGAGTCTAGTCGCAGTTGGCGTTGGATGTATTGGGGGTGTGTGTGTTTGAATCACGCTTTTTAGTTGTAGATAGGAAAAGATAGCCCTGTTTGGGAGTTGCCACTTCGTTTGTAGTATTGGGAATGGTAGTACGCCTTTGGCGTCCAATAGCTGTGATATTGTTGCCACTCCCGCCGCATTCCAGTCTTTGAGGGGAATGTTAGGTACTATTGTTCTCAGGACTGAGAGTGGAGATTTTGTGTGTAGTGTATCCTTATGACCTATTGTCTCCATAAAGGTGTCCCATATGGATATTGTAAGTTGTGTGGTTGGGAACAGGTCTGTGCGCTTAATTCTAAACTTCCTTGGTGTCCATAGGTAGTCGGTTAGAGACATGCTTGCAAATTGTGCTCTTTCCATGTCTACCCATTGTAGTGTGGCATGAAGGAGTATGCCTGTGGAGAGGATCGCTGCTCTATGGTATTGTCTCAGGTTTGGGAGACCCACTCCTCCATGTCGTGGGGCAGTCTGAAGGAGTGCTAGGGACACCCGGGGTCTTTTCCCGCTCCAAATATACGCGCTACATAATTTTTGTAGTGCCTTACAAAATTGGGGCGTGATCCCTAATGGTATCATCCTAAAGATATAAAGGATACGTGGGAGGATCATCATTTTGTACGTGTTAATTCTTCCCAACCATGAGATTTTTGCGTGTTTCCATCTGTTCATTTCCGCTTTACATAGTGTAATTAGAGGTTTGTAGTTTAGTTGTGAAGTGGCAGAAATCGTGGGCGCTATCTTTATTCCCAGGTATGTGAGGGAGTGTGATTTCCAGTCGAACTGGTATGAGGTCTGGAGTGTGTCTAACAAGGGTTTGGGCAAGTTTATTGGTAGAGCTTGGGTTTTGTCTTGGTTGAGGCGGTAGTAAGAAATATTGCCAAATTCCTGTAGGAGGTTCAACAGGGGGGGCAGAGAATTTTGTGGATCCGACAATGCTATAAATATGTCGTCGGCAAACAAAGCTAGGCTGTACATTTTGTTGCGGATATTGACTCCTAGTATCTCGGGGTGTGTTCGGATCTTTTGTGCCAGGGGTTCTAGAGCAAGTATGTACAGTAGGGGCGATAAAGGGCATCCCTGGCGGGTGCCATTGGTGATGGAGAATGCCGTAGAGAGGAACCCTCCATGCGATACTTTTGCTGCTGGACGGTGGTATAAAGCCATGATGCTATTTATGGTAGATTCTGGAAAGTTAAATTGTGCCAGTACTTTTGTCATATAGGCCCAATTTAGACGATCAAAGGCCTTCTCCGCGTCTAGGGCGAGGAGGAGGCCTGATGATCTGTTGGACTCCAGTGTGGAGATCATGTTTAATATTTTTCTGGTGTTGTCTGAGCCTTGGCGGCCCCTGATGAACCCAGATTGGTCATTGTGGATTATTTTATGCAGGAGGGGGGCGAGCCGGTTGCTGAGGAGCTTCGCGTATAGCTTGGCATCTCCATTTAGGAGGGATATAGGCCGGAAGTTTTTGCATTGTGTAGGGGGTTTGCCTGGTTTGGGAAGAGTGGAGATATGTGCCAAGAGCATTTCTTCTGGGAGCGCACCTGTTGTAGCGCATTTGTTAACTAATTGGAGGAGCAGTGGTGCTATGGTTGGTGAGAAAGTTTTATAGTATTCATTTGTTAAGCCATCAGGGCCCGGTGATTTGTGTGCTGGGAGTTGAGAGATGGCTTCCGTGAGTTCGTCTAGAGAGAAGGGTCTTGTTAGGGGTGCTAGGTCGTCTTCTGTCAGTTTGGGGAGATCTAAGGCAGCTAGAAAGTCATCTATTGTGTCTGGGGTCGGTATGTGTACCTTGGGGTCCCGGTTGAGGTTGTATAATTCGCCGTAGTATTGAGCGAATTGGTCTACAATATTTTGGGGGTTCGTTACTTTTATGCCCTTGGGGTTGTTTAGGAAGGCGATTCTGGAGGCGACATTCCTCTTTTTCAGTTGTGATGCCAATAGTGCACCAGCTTTGTTGCCACTCGTAAAGAAATTGTGTTTCAATTTCCTGAGTAGGTAAGTTGTTTTGGCTAGCTCAATGTTGTTCAGTTTGTTGTGGAGGGCTAAGAGTTTTGTTTTTGTGGTTGGTTTTGGGTCTCTTTTGTTTGAATGTGTTAGAGTTCGGATTTCTTCCAAGAGATTGGTGTATTCGGCCATTCTCTGCTTTTTAGCATAGCTGGCATGTTTTATAAAACTGCCTCGTATGACCGCCTTATGTGCTAGCCAAATGTGTTCGATTGCAGAGTCAGCGGTCGTGTTTTCTTCTATATAGTGTTGTAGATCTGTCGTGATCTGGGATACTATTGCTGGGTCTGCTAAAAGAGATTCATTAAGTCTCCAGGAGCCAGATCCTTTATTGTTAAACGCTTCTGTAATGCTAAGTGTAATGGGAGCATGGTCTGACCACGTCATTACCCCAATTGTTGCTCCTTCTATTTGGGCCATCAACGTGGTGGGTATGAGGAATCTATCTATCCGAGAATAGCTGTTGTGGGCTGCTGTATAGCATGTGTGATCTATATCTGTGGGATGTAGAATGCGCCCTGGGTCTACCATGCGAGCTGCAGTCAGTGTGGAGCATATTTTTGTGGTTAACGTGGTTCTGTGTCTGAGTGTGCAATTCTTGATTTGGGCTGTGGTGGAGGAGTCTAATCTGCTATCTAATAGGCAGTTCATGTCGCCTCCAATAATCACCTCCCCGTGTCTATACATATCAGTTAGAGCTAAGATCATTTGCAAGAACTCGTTTTGGTTTTCGTTAGGGCTATATACATTAATCAGAGTATACGGTGCATTATTCAACATACATTGTAAAATTAAATATCGACCTTTTTTGTCACATATTTTCCTAACTAAGGAGAAGGCCACATCTTTGCTGATCATTGTGGAGACTCCTCTTTTCTTCGCTGAATAACATGTATGAAAGTCGTGAGGGTACCATTTTGAGGTAAATTTGGGTCTAGAGTTCCATTTAAAATGGGTCTCTTGGAAAAATGCCACTTGTGCCCCACATTTTTTCGCCTCTTGCAAGGCTAGCCTCCGTTTATTAGGGGAGTTAAGCCCTTTGGCGTTTAGGGACATGAGCTTAATCACCATCTTTCCAGCGTGGTGGATGCTGTGGCAGGGGTTTGTGTTTCTTAATCGAGCTATTGGTTACTTTAGCTCGGCGGTCTCGAAGGAAACCTGTGGGGTTTGTATACCTGGGGGATCTAGGTAGTTTGCAACCGTGTGTATTAGTTATGCTGAGTTTGCGGAGTACTCTCAGTGGGGGGGTGGTGTGGAGGAGATAGGGAGAACAGGGGGAGAAACTATATACAAAATTCCGTAAGTCACGGTTTGGTGACATTTGGTTGCCTAAAGCAACGGAAAAGTTGGATTACTAGAACCTCGGGGGTGTACCACACTGATGTGGTAACTGGATCCCTATGTGTAGGGTATCAACAATAACTTGGGTCGAATGTAGTGCCGTCGGGTATTGCTCACCCGTTGCGGCTAGGCCTGTGGCCTTTGGTTAAACCCTTAATGGGTATCTTAGGTGAACTTGCATTATAACATTTAACAAAACAGTATAAACCTGTACGTTCAGTTCATTCAGTGGGAGGCATGATGCGGCTCTGGCCCCGGATCATTCAGGTCGGTGACTTGTTCGAGTCCATGCGTGCCTGTGGGGCCCTGTGGATTCGTGACCAGTCTTTGGACAACGCCTTTGGTGCATGGGCCGGTGTTTGTTTCTTCCTGGGGCTAGTAGGTAGGAGGGGTATATTCCATTCTTGCAGCGCCTTTTTGCCGTCTTCTGGAGTCAGGATAGGCTTGTCCACGCCATTTCTTTTAATTAGTAGCTTCGTAGGAAAGCCCCACTTGTAGGAGATATCTGCGTTACGCAGTGCTTCTGTGATCGGTGCGAAGGCTCGGCGTTTGAGCATGGTCGCTGAGGAGAGATCAGTGAACAGCTTGATATCTTTATACAATTCTGGCCATTTGGTTATGGTTCTGGAAGTCTGCATAATTCTGTCCTTGACAGTGAAGTGGTGTACTCTCGTGATCGTGTCTCTTGCAGTGTCTGGTGGGAGATGCTTGGGTTTCGGTAGTCTGTGGGTCCTGTCCAGGATCAAGTCGAATTCAGACAAAGAGGGGATCAGAGTTTTAAACAGGTCTTTGACATACCTGGATAGGTCTTGTTGTGAAATGGCCTCTGGTATACCCCTTATACGGATATTATTCCGTCTGCTCCTGTCTTCTTGATCGGCCACCTTCTCTTCTAAGGATTTAAGTTTGCGCTCCAAGTCTGTGTAGGCCTCTGTTATTGTGTTATGTGCCTCCACCAGCTCGTCTGCCCTGTCTTCCAGGCGTGCGGTGCGCTCTCCCATACTCTGTATGTCTGCCTTGATGTCAGCGGTCATCTGAAGGAGGTCAGCCTTAAATGAGGTGTGGAGCTCCTGCATAATTAGCCTGATTGAGGCATCTGTTGCAGGATTGCTGTGCTCTGACAGGCAGTCTCCTGTGTCAGTGCTGTGTGCAGGCGAGTGCCGTCCGTCGGCGCCATCTTGGATTTTCGGCTCCGCGGTTTGTGACCGTTCTAAGTGGGGATTGAGGGTTTTTTGTTTAAATTTTGTGGTCGCCATCAGGGATAGGGGTGTTCACCTGAGTGTGCAGAGGTTTATCGCTCGTTTCTAGGGGTTTTCCACGCTGTTGAAGCCGCTTTATTGCCGCGGGTCGGGAGAGCACCGTTCCTGCACGTCCGCTCACATGCGCGGTCAGGACACGCCCCCGTGACAGGTCATTTTTAAGGTTTTATTCAATATTTAAAATTCCAGAAAAGTAAAAGTACCCCCGAACAAAACAGTCAGGTGTTGGGATCAGGCTGACTGAAATAAGCAGTGCCTGCTAGAAGACACACAGCGGCATGGCCAAGCTTTGGAAAATGACCCCTGTTATGTTTGTCGTTTTTCCTTTTACAAAAATGGCTTGGCACAAATCAAGGTTGAGTGGTTATAGTGCATACACTGTCTGGTTCTATTACTGCTAATACTGCTTGTTTAACAAACACAGAGCTCCTTGGAGTCTGGATATTCAAATCATTCACTGGTTTTTTTTCTAAGGACTGCTTGCTGCCAGGGTTTATAAATATACAAAACATGGAAGAATGTTGCTGGGCCAGACGCCTGTAACATGACTGGGAGACATATTGTATGTTTATCATAATACAGAGAACATGCGCAGGAGGAGCTGTTTAATGAATCGTCTCTAACATATTCTGTATGCTTTGTGAAATAAACCTTGTTCATGGGTCCGAAACTCCATTTTAGGCATGTTAGCAGTACCACATCCCACAAGCTGTGCAGCACACTAAATTCACCTAATCTGGTACTTTAGGGAGTGAAATGAAGAAAGTACTAAAGAGAGAGCAGTCCACCCCATATCTGTGTTACATGGTGTGTGGCACTAAATGAGAGATGTAGCCCTGCGGAATATCAATTACCCAAAGAGAAATCAAATAATCTAGCTTTATTAAAGGATCAGTCCAATACAGATATTTCCTTTGATAAAAGTCCCCGTATCCAGTGCCGTCAGAGTCCCTCGCTGCAGCTCTGTTACCCCCGTTGGTCAGTACAAGTGATTGTCTCTAGGCTTATCCCGTGCTTTTCATAGAGAAGAACAGGCCAAGAGTGAGCTTACGTGACAATCCTCGCAATGTAGCAGCAGTGCTTCTTATAGGGATGCATTCAGTTCATGCTGAAAAAGTTCTCTTTAAACCACTATCACTTTTTATTAAGTAAGAACGAGGCAACGCGTTTAACCCCTACAGCACTTTAGGAAGCTCTCCTCAACCCATCGTCATGCCTCATCACTCCTTTCCCTCAGTGGTCAATCAAATGCTTCTTACTCGAACAGAGTGCTCCCACCACTGCCTGCAAGGGGGTACACAACTCATTACGTGTCGTAAGCACGCAAGCGACAGATGTCATTTTTGCCAGGCTGTTTAAGTGTGCTGAGGGTGTAAGTGCAAAATATCTCAAGCAGACAAACTGCATTTACAGATTCATATCACCTTGACCACTTTTAAAAACAGAAATGGTCATGGATGTTGGAGTAACCCATGAAGGAGCTATACTTACCCTGTTCCTTCTCGGGGCCACCATAGCTCTGTCATCATCACTATCGTACAAGTCACCATTATCACTAGTGGTGTAAAGGTCCACATCTCTCGTAGAAAATCTAACTCAAAAAGCTTGGCATAAACAAGCTCAAAAGTGTGAGTCCCTTTTATTGTGTTCCCCACCAGCACGAAATACTAATGAAAACAAAGTCATGGTCACTCTGGCAGCCTTACTAAAGAGTGAAAATGGGTAGGACATCCCAGCAGATCTGTCCTGCTGTGAAAAACTCTGAATTCCAAGACAAACAATGAAATCACCAAGCACACTTTGCTCCAAATATATTATAGTGATATTGCATAGATTTAATTGTTACTTAGCAGCTACCACTCACTGAAACGGTGGATGCAGAGATGTCCACCTGGGTATTACTGTAGTTATACCCACTACTGGCTCTGCTTAGGGAAAGCAACTATGGGATCACAGTGGAAATCTGTCTATTCTACTCTACAAGTGGGATCAAGGGAGGGACATACCCTTTACATTTCTTTAGGTTCTGAAAGAAATGACTTGTCCACAATGGAGTCCACACACCCACTAATAAGGTAATGCTACTATACAACAGGAAAATAAAATGAAATATAGAAATTCACACCTCTACAACTGGGTGCCTCCATCTTAGCTCCCTGTGAGTTACTGCTGTCCTTTGCACCTGGCAGTCAGAGTATACATTGTGTGACTGGCTGTGCCTGAACTGGAGTGTGATGTCAACTGCTAAATCTTTAACATAAACATAAAAAAGCATCACGTTAAAAAGGTACCACAAGCTGAATGCGATTTCAGTATTGTATTCAATGTGTAAGGTATACTGTACCATGTGGGTGGTTTTTAAACTTTGAACGTCTTTATGCCAAAAGGAAAATTAACCCCTCCATATCCAGTGATCCACACCAGCTTTCCACTCTGAGCAGAATACATTCATGTTACTGCAGGAGATGGCATTTCATCGAGAGGAACCTGTGCTTACCTGCTCTCCTTTTGCCTTGGGAACCACCCGCTTGTCCTCCATGTCACACTTGTTTCCTAGCAGCATCCGCTCCACGTCCTCATTGGCATGCTGCAAGACACCAACAACGACAATTAATGCCTGGAATTCAAGGCTTAAACCACGTAATAAAACTGGACAAACACTGGCATATCTAGCCATCAACACTTTGCCCCTATTTTACTTAGAGACCAGAATCTTTCATGTAGAATCATAACTTCGTGTAAAATGGCAAAACAAAAAACACCAAAAAAAAGTAGAAGACAGCATTTAGATACCGCCCCACTCGACATCCAGTAGCTAGACCTCCACCCTAATCTCCACTTAACTAATTGTATATAGACCCTCATACCTACTGGACATCCAGTATCTAGAACCCTGCCCACTATCTCCAATGGACTAACTATATCTAGACCCCTGCCCGCCATCTCCACTGAACTGTATCTAGACTTACGCCCAACATCTCCACTGGACTATCTAGACCCTCATACATAGTGGACATTCAGTATCTAAACCACTGCCAACCATCTCCAGTGGACTAACTGTATCTAGACTAACTGGACTAACTGTATCTAGACCCCTGCCCACAATCTCCACTGGACTAACTGTATCTAGGCCCTCATACCTACTGGACGTTCAGTATCTAGACCACTGCCAACCATCTCCAATGGACTAACTTTATCTAGACCTCCGCCCAACACTTCCACTGGACCAACTGTATCTACACCTCCGCCCAACACTTCCACTGGACCAACTGTATCTACACCTCCGCCCACCATCCCCACTGGACTAACTGTATCTAGACCCCTGACCACAATCTCCACTGGACTAACTGTATCTACACCACTGACCACCATCCCCACTGAACCAACTGTATCTACACCTCCGCCCACCATCCCCACTGGACTAACTGTATCTTGTCCTCCACCCATCATCTCCACTGTATCTAGGCCCTCACCCCTACTGGACATCTAGTATCTAGACCTTCACCCACCATCTCTACTGGGCTAACTGTATCTAGATTCACCTCCACATCCACATGCCACCCTGCCTGCTCTGTCTATCCAGTATATTGACCCCGCTGCCTGCTCTTTTGAAATCAAACATTATTTAAAAAAAATTTTTTTTTTTTTTTTAAACAGACCTAATGGTCTACTCATCACCCATTACTAGATTGCGTGTTGATGGCCAACTATCCAATCCGGTACCGATCATCAATGGCACAAAGCAGGGATGCCCTCTCTCCCTCCTTATATTTAAGAGCCATTTCTACAGGGACTCTGGAGACAATCAGCAGATGCGCGGGGTCACAAACGTGGGCTAGTACACACTTTACTGCCACCACCAAGACTTTATATCCAGGCATCTTAGGTTACCCCACACACAGTAGAATTATAGTATCACAACCTTACTTCACTGATCAGACATATATAATTAACCCTTTTGGTAATGTGTTTACCTGAGCCTTCCTCAGAAGAGTGAAGCTCATAGAGAACAAAAACACAAGCCGATTACAAGCTGTAAACATTTAATCTGACAAAAAGATTCACAGAGCTGTGTACAAATATACAGAAATAAATTAAACACAGAAATACAGATAAATTGCAAAACAGTCCATAAAATAAAATAGGAGAAAACACAAGAGGTCCTTAGATATATTTACCGCTTATATATAATTCTTGTGGCAGATTCCGATGTTAAAGTTCTCCAAGTAGTTGTTAAAAAGAAAATCTCTCACTGGATAGTCCAAGATCCTCAATATAACCTTAAAACTAATTGTTTCTCAGTGGGCAGACCCCTGGGTGGGTCAGAGGGGTTTGGCATGGCAGTTTATTGCCCACTCCATATTTTCTTAAATTATGTTGTCCTTTGAAGAACGCAAAGTCAGAGCATACGCATCAATACCTTTTTTACGATGCCCTATGTCCAGCTCTTTTTAAGCCACATTTTATGGCTTAGGCCTGGCACTGGATCAAAGCCTACAATAAATGTTATCCCAACATTTACAAAAACAACTCATAACATATATCAAATGCCAACTCATGCTTTGGCATATCACGCAGCTTTAATATCAACAAGGTGGAATACAAAATATCTGCATTCACAGACAACGTCCTGTTCATGGTTTCTGTAAATATCTAGGGATCCACTTGCCTCACAAGATTGATCACTTATATGAATTGAACTTTGCGCCGATTGTAGCCGTCATATCAAAGGATTTGAAAAGATGGCACAGGCCATGTTTCAGATGGTTTTGTAGAATTAATATCTTAAAAATGAATGTGCTCCCTTGCATCTTATATGCACTTCAAACGATTCCCAGAGCTCTTCCAAAGAGATTTTTTTGATACGCTCAGGACAATTTTCATGACCTTTCTGTGGTCCTACACCCACTCTCGACTAGCATACTCTCTCCTTATTAAACCATGCGAGGAGAGGGGAGTGGAACTCCCAGATATTGACGCGTACCAAAAAGCCATACATCTGACTAGAGTCTATGAATGAACAAGGGAGTATACGACGCAACAATGGGTGTTAATAGAAGCCTCATTCTTTGAATCTCCCATCATGACAATCCTATGGCACAAATCAGGCCTACCCTTCCTAAAACACAAACACCCGACAATTACAGCCACACTAAGGGTGTGGATAAGCATTGCAGCAATAGGGCCTTTTCACCATACCCCTCCCCGCTATATCCACTAACACACAACCCTCTATTCCAAGCAGGGGTACCGGGTAGGGTGTTCAGACTATCACGAAAAACCTTACCTCCAGCTCCAAGATATTGTGAAGGGAAATAAAACAACACCATTTTGCAATCTCATTTCTTCACAAGCTCCTACGGGCATGCACCAACTAAAATACACACAGCTTGTCCATTTCATAAGGAGCTTTAAGCTCTGACCAACGGGCGAGCGAGAGCTTACGCACTTTGAGCAGCTGTGAACCTCACATCCGCTGAAACACAAGCTACTATCCACTATGTATACGCCAATACAAAAGACAAGTTCATCTGAACTCCCTAGATTCACTGTAAAGTGGGCGGATGAATTACAAGCTAATATCTCACCAGTCCAGTTGAAAAAGATATTTCTTATGGCACACAAGGCATCCAGGAGCATCGCCACACAAGAAAGCAATTACAATTGGCTTACGCACTGGCATTACACTCCAGCTAAAATCCATAAACTACATAACAGTGCCCAGGACGCCTGTTGGAGATGTCAACAACCAGATGCACACCCTACACACATTTGGTGGTGATGTCCGTCGATACATACATTCTGGAAATGCATACACACACTTACAGTTAATCACGAAAACAGAGATACCCTTCTCACCAGAGTATTGCGGTTTCTCTTACCCCCACCCCTACAAGAGAGACAGGGAATATCTTTGACCTCTCACCTACTCATGGCAGCAAACCAGCTAATCCCAGTCAAATGGAAACAAGTGACCACTCCATCCATCAGAGAATGGATCCAAAGAGTGGAAGGGATAAAAATAATAAAGAAATCACGTATGCTACATCCAAAAACTACGAAAAATTCACTCAAATTTGGGGACCATGAAACTCCTTTATACGGGATGCTTATAATATCTGCTCAACCGAATGCATTACTGATAGACGTAGCTAGAAGACTCTGATGGAAGTGAAGTAAGATGTAAATCACCTAGATGTCGTTTTGTAAACCCATAATCAAATTCTGATACGCACACACCACAGTGCCTGATAGATAGTAGACAATATACCAATACAATCAAGGTAGTTGACTGTTTTATTTGTGAATGCAAAGGAAGAAATGGTGTAAAATATGCATACGCTATAAAAATGTATTAGCTATCAAAAGTTACATGCCACCACTATTTGTATGCTTATAACACAACCGGAAATGTACGCATGTGTCTTTGAAACAATAAGGCAAAGTTAAGATACCTACAAAGGTAATCTATGAAACGGTTTTCTGTACCATTGTTCTAAATATGTTTTTCAATGCCATTTGTAGCGGAGAGGCAGTATAATCCACAATATCTCCGCTGGTAGAAAGGAGCAGCATATAATAATCCAAGTAAAACAAGTACAGCATACAATAATCCCGGTAGCGTTATATAAATCCTTCCTTCCCAAGAACTAGACGACACATAGGCTGGGAGTCAACTGAGGTTTTAATCACAGGTCACAGTATTTATGTGGTTCCCCATGCAAGGGGTTTCCTTACTGACTTTACAGGGGTTGTACAGTAGGGGACTACATGGGGAACTTAACAACCAGGACATTTCTCCCACCATGCACTGCTGTAAGAGAGGGATACTCCCACTAGAATACCCAGTTAAGTGGATTATCCCTCCGTGCAGCAGAACTGGCTTTTTACATAAAAATCTATAACTTTAACATTATTCATGCTATTATACCGAAGGACCGCTCGACAGATAGCTGGGGTCTGAGCGCATACTTCGTGAAAGTACCGCTCAGATCCCAGCACAATTAGCCGAACGCCGCACGAAATACACTTGAACACACATTCTTCACAAAGTCACGAATAACATACAGAGATAAAGTACCGAAAGACCGGGGCTCCCAAACGGCCTGGAAGTCCAGCGGTATTCGTGCCGTCAAGTAGCTGATTTTAATTCCAGGCACTCGCCGACTAAATACCGCTGGGCTAACAAAGGATCCAAGATGGCTGTGGTCAGTATTCGAACGGCGGCCACCCTGAACATCTATTAACTGCTGAAAGATACATTGTTGCGATCCTTGATGGGAGCCAAATGACCTCCTGTGTGTGGTCTCCCATTCGGTAGTTTGTTCATTTCACGAACATTGTTGAAATTCACTGTTCGTGAAACTACTGCATGAATGCTGGTGGCTTTCGTGCCGCCAGCATGTGAATGCTCTCGTTCACATAAAATATAGAATAGGGAACGTGGATAGTTCAGGTAGTCTTAAAGCCACAATATCACACAAACTTAAATACAGTCTTAAGTGGGAAATATAGTTTGAAGTGGCTAGGTTTGCCACACCATTGTTCTACAAGATCATACCTTGTATGTAAATGCTTTTATAAAACGAAATAAAAATGATTGAATAATAAAAATAAAATAAAACAGATCTGTGAATTTTGCATAAAAGGTAATGTATTGTTTTAGGTGGCACAATATCAGGAAATACAATTTTTACACATTTAGGCTTGAGATGACAACACTTCTCATCAAAAACAACAATGTGGAAGTGCACTCATCCCCTTTTATCTATATAAATCTGGGTGCAACCAAACCAGGTCTCAGTACCAGGAAACCAAATGCTTAATGTAGAAAGGTCCAGGCACTCCAAGATTTCAACAAAAGGCAATTTATTTAAACCGAATGCCAAATCGCAACGTTTCGACCTACATGGCTTTTGTCAAGCTATTAAATACACACACCGTATACAATTTATAGGTGTCCAAATCATAAAAAAAAAAAATATATCAATCAACTGACGCATCCAAGACAAGGACGTCCGCACAGTAAAGGAGGAATGCTTCTGAATAAGACCTGCTATATAAAACACATGCAATTTACACCTCCCAGCTGCTCAGCACAATTAACATTCACTACCAGAAGAGTCCTCTTCTCAGTGGGAAATAATCACGTGGCCATGTCACAGAATTTGGAAAGATACTAGGGACGCACCAAAACGAAAATTCTGGGCCGAAACCGGAAATTCAGGATGCCCGAAACCGAAAATGACTTTTCCCCCCAAATGCTAGTAATATAGTTTTTTTTCTATCATTTTATTAATATTAGACTGTTTAATGAATTTAATTTTAAAAACTTCCCTCCTCTTTTAGTGTCCTTTCCACCCCCCCTCCCCTGTCCCACAGTGTCCTTTCCACCCCCCTCCCCTGTCCCACAGTGTCCTTTCCACCCCCCTCCCCTGTCCCACAGTGTCCTTTCCACCCCCCTCCCCTGTCCCACAGTGTCCTTTCCACCCCCCCTGTCCCACAGTGTCCTTTCCACCCTCCCTGTCCCACAGTGTCCTTTCCACCCCCTGTCCCATAGTGTCCTTTCCAGTGTTTTTTCCTCCCTCCCTATCCCATAGTGTTTTCCCCCCTCCCCTGTCCGTTTTTCCTCCCCCTCCCTGTCCTTTTCCTCCCTCCCCTGTCCATAGTGTTTTTTTTCCCTCCCGTCCCATAGTGTTTTTTTTCTCCTCCCCCCCATAGTGTTTTTTTCCTCCCCTGTCCCATAGTGTGTCCCCCCTTCCCTTCCCCTCCTCCTCCCATAGTGTTTTTTTCCTCCCTCCCCTGTCCCATAGTGTTTTTTTCCTCCCCCCTCCCCTGTCCCATAGTGTTCTTTCCCCTCTCTCCTGTCCCATAGTGGTTTCCCCCGTCCCAAGTGCAGTCAATGCAAGCATGTCTGTTAAAAAAATTTTTTGTAGTGCATAGTTTCTTTTTTAATCTGCAAATTTGACCCATTTTAGGCCAAAAATTTCAGCAACCAAAATTTTGGTGCATCCCTAAAAGATACACAGCGGTTTACACTGCATCTGGCTAAAATCTAGGTTAAATCCTTCCCTTTGAGATGTGGAAGAGGTTTCAACAAGAGAAGTGGATAATCTCCTCTGAGTTTATAGAAAAGTTATAAGGGTAATATTAAAAGAACACTGCATTCACTATACACACACACACACACTGCATTCACTATACACACACACTGCATTCACTATACACACACACTGCATTCACTAATCAAATACTCTCACTGCATCCACTACACACACACACATTCTTGAAAACAAATTCTGACTGGCATGTATATTTTGTGCATTTACCTTAATAAAAAAAGATTTGCAAAATAAATCAAACAAACATGCTCAGTTAACAGTAGATTTGTGTAGAAATTGTTTGTTTATTTTTTTTAAATGGTAAATATACAGAATATCGGTAAGTTATCGGCTATCGGCTTGAAAGTTCACAGATTATCGGCTCTAAAAAAATCTATATTGGTCGATCCCTCCTGAAGATGAGAATGGAACGGGCAGAATCCAAGCGCAAAATGTTCCTCTGCCACATGACAGGTGTTCTACAGCAGCTTTAACGAGAAACAATCACAAACTGGAAGAGCGAGTAACGCAGCATCCTTTCAGCACATAAGGAGACAAGCAGCATTGTACAACAGTTTTCCCAAAAACCAATAAACTAAACTGGGCAAAATCTGTTGTAATGCCCCACTAAAATTATTTAGACAGGAATTTCAAACTGGAAGAATAATTCCACTTAAATTGCACAGTAATACGCTATCAGTGACACTCCCTGCATTAGTCACAATCAGAGAACATTCCTGTCTGTCCCAAAGCCCTTATGCAACCCAGATAGGAAATGACTTAAAGGGCCACTTTCAAAGAAACAAATGACTCAACAAGTTTATTCACTTATTTCGAATACATTTAACCAGCCCATAACATGGGGCTAAAAACACATCGCAAAATTAAGGAACTACTTGGGCATCAAAAAACGTGTGTTCACATGTAATTACCCTATTCCTAGCACGGAGTTACCACCTTCAGTATACAGGGATTGCGGAAATTTAACAAAACCCAACAGACTCACATTAAAATCGAATTGTTCAGACACACAAATTAGGTTTCATTAGAAAGACATCACGTGCGCGAGACTTACAAACATATTACAAGAAAACAAGATATCTGGTTTGTATTATCAAACCGGACCATCACTATATGCTCCCCCACAGGGACCATACAAACTACTAGTCACCCTTACGTATCCTCCAAACATCAACTACCCAAAATAGGTTTATACTGGATTAACTGTGCTGTGTCACACTGGAAGCAAACACATGGTCATCTAAGTGACCATAGGGCCAACAAATGCTCTGCCACATGTTCCACCGGATGCTGTATGACACATGGAAAAGGAAACTTTTTTTAGCGACTCGTGGCTAAAAGATTGAGAATTGCCCATTACCAATTTATTTTAATCAAGCAAAATCTGAAGGCAGCAAGAAACATTCACAAAGATCCATGTAATTAATGACATTAACCCAGTTATAGCATTAGAACAAAGGGCATTTTAAATAAGTGGGAGTTTGGCAATGGTGGCCTACCTAAACACCTTCTCCCCAAAGGTTGCGGTAATATGTAACATTTAGTGCGTGCCGGTATCAATCAGAACATGCTGAATTAATGCATCAACGTGCTCGGTCATGACTGGGCTTACCTCGTCTATATTTCTGAGCCATTTGCTGATGTTCTCAAAGCTTTTGGCGTTTGTGATATCATACACCAACATGATTCCCATGGCCCCTCGGTAATAAGAGGTGGTGATGGTGTGAAATCGCTCCTGTCCGGCAGTGTCCCTGGATAGAGAGAAACAAACAGTTAATATACACTAGTGCCTGGGCCTGAATACTAGAGAGTGGGGAGGGGAAATCTGACACTGAGTCAGATAAGTCAAAGAAACACAACATGGTGCTTTAAAGGAAAGGGGGGAGTAACGTGCCCCCACAGCTTTCAAAGGGTTAAGCATAGTGTGGGGCTAGGAATAGTTAGAATAAACAAAAATAACGGCAAATAATGCAGTCAAGACGTTTTAGCTTAAAGAAATGCAATAAAAGTTAAAACATTTATATTACATGTGTTTCTTTGTGCACAACGTTATCAGTCCTCTCTTTAAATAAATAAAATATCCGTCCAGTCCTTGCACAGTGAACTCAACCCTGATGACTTGTCCAGATCTTTGATGGAAGGACACATTGAGCATGCACAGCAATTGCAGAGATCCACTAAACATGCACATTACATCTTTCCAGTGTATGCTCCAGTAAATATAAAACGTGCTCCTCTGTATTTTCCACGTACACCAACAACCCCTTACACTTTATGTCCTGCACGCTTGTTATTTTTTCTAACATTTTGGGACACCTTACCAGGTAAAAAATGCAAAAGGAGGCAGTTACTTCTCTGTAAAAAGTGATGTTTGATTTTCTCTTAAATGTATATTTAGCAACATGCATCACAATCCAGTTTAGTGTAGGCACAGCCAGGGAACATGGCGAATGAGGAGGGGGAATAGAAACCACGAGGGATTGACCAAGGTGTTCTGTTCTAAAAAGTGGAAAAAGTGGTAAAAGGAGGGATTTACTAATGGAATGTGACAGTAGGTTTCACTGTTTCTATAGTGCTTATTCCAATGTTGGTACTTTAGAACACTTTGATAAAATTCCCCATTATTTTAATTCTACTCTCTCTATGTTTTCTCAATGCCAACTGCCAGGTGTAATGGGCGGAGCTTATAACAATGATTGACAGGAAGCCAAGATAAAAGTGTGGATTTCTAAATATGATGTATCACATACTTATTTATTAGGTTTCCTTTTCTCTTATATTTCATATCATGTGAAGTGACAGCTCCCGTTTAACAGACTCCATAAAGGAAAACCATCAGAAAAAGTGATACCGAGCGTTACCTCATATACTACAAAAAAATGGAGCTATGTTTGCAGGAAGTGACGCTGTGATAGCAGAGGGTATTCCAGTGGTAGCTCGGCATTACAATGGAAGTAGAGAGTGTTTAGGGGGCTCAGAGAATACTTGGTTTACAGAAAACACACACACACACCTTTAAGCCAACATAAATGGATGTGTATATTTGCAAGGTAAATATATGCACAAATTAGAGTCCAGTAGTGGTAGTTGCAAAAAAAAAAAAGTGAATGAACAATATGTAAAAACACAAAAACCTAAAAATACTCCCCAAAAAAGCCTCTTCCCAGAGATCCTGCCATGATTGCTTTAACATGGATATGGACATATATGAAAAAGAAAGACCAAGTATAATGTGTATACAACTCACCAAAATCACTAGCACACTGCCAGACCCAAACACACAGGTACCGGTACACACTGCCAGACCCAAACATACAGGTACCGGTACACACTGCCAGACCCAAACACACAGGTACCGGTACACACTGCCAGACCCAAACACACAGGTACCGGTACACACTGCCAGACCCAAACACACAGGTACCGGTACACACTGCCAGACCCTAACACACAGGTACCGGTACACACTGCCAGACCCCCAAACACACAGGTACCGGTACACACTGCCAGACCCAAACACACAGGTACCGGTACACACTGCCAGACCCAAACACACAGGTACCGGTACACACTGCCAGACCCAAACACACAGATACCGGTACACACTGCCAGACCCAAACACACAGATACCGGTACACACTGCCAGACCCAAACACACAGATACCGGTACACACTGCCAGACCCAAACACACAGATACCAGTACACACTGCCAGACCCAAACACACAGATACCAGTACACACTGCCAGACCCAAACACACAGATACCGGTACACACTGCCAGACCCAAACACACAGATACCAGTACACACTGCCAGACCCAAACACACAGGTACCGGTACACACTGCCAGACCCAAACACACAGGTACCGGTATACACTGCCAGACCCAAACACACAGGTACCGGTACACACTGCCAGACCCAAACACACAGGTACCGGTACACACTGCCAGACCCAAACACACAGGTACCAGTACACACTGCCAGACCCAAACACATATATACCAGTACACACTGCTCATAGTTTTTCACACACTGTCAGACACACTGACATTCTGTCCAGCTTGGTCCCACAGTCCTCACAGATTACCAGAAAAACAGATAAACATCGATCTCAAAGTCAATAAATGTTTGCAAACACGTCACTAAAAGTTTTTTTGTTTTTTTTGCTGTATTCTAAAAGAAGGTAGCACATTTGAAATTTTATTTGACAAACACTCCCCCAACCCACCAAAAATAAAATTAAAATATAAATAAGGTATATTGCAAAGAGGAAATAACAGTGCCTGCAATCCCACTACGAGACCCATGAACCCTGCTTACACAGTTCCAGATTACAGATCTGAGCATGACGCGGTCTTACTCAGGTTGTGAAAACAAATCATCTGTTGCTAGTTAAACAGGAGTGGCCTCCTCCCTGGGCAAACCAACATTTTAGCATTTACCTAACCCCAAGTATTACATGCTACAGAGAACTACAAGGTAAAGGCTGCCTGCTTACACTGTTCCAAGGGATCAGAGCGAGGCACAGGCCTGACCCAGAGCCACGGGATCACAGCGAGGCACAGGTCTGACCCAGAGCCACGGGATCACAGCGAGGCACAGGCCTGACCCAGAGCCACGGGATCACAGCGAAGCACAGGCCTGACCCAGAGCCACGGGATCACAGCGAGGCACAGGCCTGACCCAGAGCCACGGGATCACAGCGAGGCACAGGCCTGACCCAGAGCCACGGGATCACAGCGAGGCACAGGCCTGACTCAGATCCATGGGATCACAGCGAGGCACAGGCCTGACTCAGACCCATGGGATCACAGCAAGGCACAGGCCTGACTCAGACCCATGGGATCACAGCGAGGCACAAGCCTGCTACATGGCCATTTACAGTGTGAAGCTTTAGTAAGTCTGATTTCTCTAACTGGTGGCGAGACTTTTCACTGTTTTTATCCTCTCAATATACACCCTGCACCAAGTCCCATATAGCAGAAGTCCCATATTACAGCTAATATCAGTCGAGATGGTTCCATTTTCTAGTGGAATTTATGGAGTCACAAACTAAGCTAAACATCACTGCAGCATCTTAAGCAAACGCTTCTTGTAAATGCTCTGAGAAAGTGTGCCTTTGTGTGATGATTTACTGCCTTCTATTCGAATGCCAGGTCAGCGGTGTATATACAAGGGAGTGGGATTATTTTTTTTAAATCTACTTGTCCAAAGGACTAGAGTGATAGCCCAATCTACGTGTCCGTCATGACAATCTAGTAAAGTCGAAAAATTCTCTAGCTACTAGATTGCCTCAGTATTACTCCGAGTGTTTTACCCTCTGCCCTCCCATAGTCTCCCTCTTTTTCATAGTTTGTACTGTGTGTGTTGGATGTGAGTGATGTTCGAGCGGAGAGTACCCATTGTGGTTGATGTGAGTCTGCACTGGCTGCATGTGGTTGGGATACACTGTGGTTGGGCACACGGACCCATACAAAATACACATTCTCTGACACACACAGCACAGACTACCAGTATCAGCCTGTCCCACGCAGTCTCTCTCAATTAGAGCACGTTGGCCTCCTGGACATGACATCATGCGGATTTGCGGCAGCCATCAGACATGAGCATTGTGAGCAGTGGTTGGCTGCAGTCGCTTCTCACACCGCTCTGCATGTCTCAGGCGCTAGGGCACTCGAAACATTTGGACAGCAGAATGGAGGGCTTACAGACTATATGGACACCCAATCTTAGGAGAGACAGCAGACAGTCACCCACTTGGCTTTTTGGGTGGAGATTTCTCAAAGATTGTGACAAGGCTAAATGCCAAGACGTATGTGACATAACTACTCGCCTTCTAACCTGTGGATTAGAGCAGGATTTTTCATTGTGTTATATGGCTGTTCTGCTACACCAAGAGAGTCCAATGGTCTTTCAGCACATTGTATCTATTTTATACCCATATCTACGCTTGAACTGAGTGACTCCCACGCCCTTGATATCTTCGACATGAGTGATACAAGTTACTAACATACTGGCTGTCTGTGTAGCTTCATTTTCAATGAATCTGATGGGATTATTTTTTTGAATATGTTAATTGTATTGTATTTTCATTATATGTTCAGTTAGTTCTACAATTGGTAGGTCATTTGTGACATCCAATTCACTATGTATCTCAATGAACTCCTCACACATTTAATAACAAGAAGGAAAATGAGAGCATACTAAGCTACAAAAGCTCAATTTTGGGACAAATAACTGAATGGTTGCAATGTCCACTACAGGTTCCACCGGTAACTAGCTGGCAAAGCCTACAATCCATGTTATCTGGTTACCAGACTGTTCTACAGTGCAGGAGATACATCACCGAGCCTGGTGGAAGGATACAGGCCCTGAAGGGTGGTTTATTACCTTTCTAATGATTTCAGGATCTTGGGTCTCCCTACACACTATTAGCATATGCTGTCCCCACCATGGCCTGATCTTTGTACTGAGATGTGAGACCTACCGTATCAGACACACAAGTTTCCGGGAATTTAGACATGTGGGAAACACAAATGTGGGTACAAATCTGAACTAAAGAAGACAAACCAGCAGCTTGCAATGTGCAAGATGCCAGTTACAAAAATGTTATGGCATTCTTGCCCTACTCAAAGGACACAACAGACATCCAAACACCCATTGCACAGGAGGGAAAAGTGGAAACCAAATGTATCAACAGCTTCAGTGAAGGAATGAAAATTAGACTATTTCCGCAGCTGGTGTGCCAGTACACTGCCAGGGTCAAAACACACTCTGCCAACGAGCAGCAGATGGAAGTAAGAGCTAACTGGAACTATTCATTGATCTGCAGCTGGGCCTTTCAGGAACAATTTAATAAGGTTTAATCTGTGCAACCAAACAGGAACCAAGAGAGTAAGATGGAGAACGCAGTGACAGAGCTTTCTATAGGAGGGCACAGTATGCAGAGAGCGCAGTGACAGAGCTTTTTATAGGAGGGCACAGTATGCAGAGACAACACTTTCAATAGAAGCGCATAGAATGCAGAGAGCGCAGTGACAGAGCTTTCTATAGGAGGGCATAGAATGCAGAGCACAGTGACAGAGCTTTATATAGGAGGGCATAGAATGCAGAGAGCGCAGTGACAGAGCTTTCTATAGGAGGGCATAGAATGCAGAGAGCGCAGTGACAGAGCTTTCTTTAGGAGGGCATAGAATGCAGAGAGCGCAGTGACAGCTTTCTATAGGAGGGCATAGAATGCAGAGAGTGCAGTGAGAGCTTTCTATAGGAGGGAATAGAATGCAAAGAGTGCAGTAACAGAGCTTTCTATAGGAGGGCATAGAATGCAGAGAATGCAGTGACAGCTTTCTATAGGAGGGCACAGTATGCAGAGAGCGCAGTGACAGCTTTCTATAGGAGGGCATAGAATGCAGAGAGCGCAGTGACAGAGCTTTCTATAGGAGGGCATAGAATGCAGAGAGCGCAGTGACAGAGCTTTCTATAGGAGGGCATAGAATGCAGAGAATGCAGTGACAGCTTTCTATAGGAGGGCATAGAATGCAGTGACAGCTTTTTATAGGAGGGCACAGTATGCAAAGAGTGCAGTAACAGAGCTTTCTATAGGAGGGCACAGTATGCAAAGAGTGCAGTAACAGAGCTTTCTATAGGAGGGCATAGAATGCAAAGAATGCAGTGACAGCTTTCTATAGGAGGGCATAGAATGCAGAGAACGCTTTCTATAGGAGGGCATAGAATGCAGAAAATGCAGTGACAGCTTTCTATAAGCGGGCATAGAATGCAGAGTGTGCAGTGACAGCTTTCTATAGGAGGGAATAGAATGCAAAGAGTGCAGTAACAGAGCTTTCTATAGGAGGGCATAGAATGCAGAGAATGCAGTGACAGCTTTCTATAGGAGGGCACAGTATGCAGAGAGCGCAGTAACAGCTTTCTATAGGAGGGCATAGAATGCAGAGAGTGCAGTGACAGCTTTCTATAGGAGGGAATAGAATGCAGAGAGCGCAGTGACAGATCTTTCTATAGGAGCGCATAGAATGCAGAGAGTGCAGTGACAGCTTTCTACAGGAGGGCATAGAATGCAGACAACGCTTTCTATAGGAGGGCATAGAATGCAGAGAGTGCAGTGACAGAGCTTTCTATAGGCGGGCATAGACTGCAGAGAGTGCAGAGAACGCTTTCTATAGGAGGGCATAGAATGCAGAGAGTGCAGTGACATCTTTCTATAGGAGCGCATAGAATGCAGAGACAATGCTTTCTATAGGAGGGCATAGAATGCAGAGACAACACTTTGTATAGGAGGGCATAGAATGCAGAGTGTGAAGTGACAGCTCTCTATAGGAGGGCATAGAATGCAGAGTGTGCAGTGACAGCTTTCAATAGGAGGGCATAGAATGCAGAGAGTGCAGTGAGCTTTCTATAGGAGGGCATAGAATGCAGAGTGTGCAGTGACAGAGCTTTCTATAGGAGGGCATAGAATGCAGTGACAGAGCTTTCTATAGGCGGGCAAAGAATGCAGAGAACGCTTTCTATAGGAGGGCATAGAATGCAGAGTGCAGTAACAGAGCTTTCTATAGGAGGGCATAGAATGCAGAGAGTGCAGAGAACGCTTTCTATAGTAGGGCATAGAATGCAGAGAGTGCAGTGACATAGCTTTCTATAGGAGCGCATAGAATGCAGAGACAATGCTTTCTATAGGAGGGCATAGAATGCAGAGACAGCGCTTTGTATAGGAGGGCATAGAATGCAGAGTGCAGTGACAGCTCTCTATAGGAGGGCATAGAATGCAGAGTGCAGTGACAGCTTTCTATAGGAGGGCATAGAATGCAGAGAGCGCAGTGACAGAACTTTCTATAGGAGGGCATAGAATGCAGAGAGTGCAGAGAACGCTTTCTATAGTAGGGCATAGAATGCAGAGAGTGCAGTGACATAGCTTTCTATAGGAGCGCATAGAATGCAGAGACAATGCTTTCTATAGGAGGGCATAGAATGCAGAGACAGCGCTTTGTATAGGAGGGCATAGAATGCAGAGTGCAGTGACAGCTCTCTATAGGAGGGCATAGAATGCAGAGTGCAGTGACAGCTTTCTATAGGAGGGCATAGAATGCAGAGAGCGCAGTGAGAACTTTCTATAGGAGGGCATAGAATGCAGAGTGCAGTGACAGCTCTCTATAGGAGGGCATAGAATGCAGAGTGTGCAGTGACAGCTTTCTATAGAAGGGCATAGAATGCAGAGAGCGCAGTGACAGCTTTCTATAGGAGGGCATAGAATGCAGAGAGCGCAGTGACAGAACTTTCTATAGGAGGGCATAGAGCGCATAAGGTGAAGTAAATGGTGCAATCACAAAAAAAATGATGCAAATGTGAAATCAAACGCAACAATTGTATACATAACCTTCACTGAGCTTTCTTCACAGCTCTATCTGCAATACAACAAGTCAGGGGGCAGAGGAACTGACTAAAGGAGGGGATTTTTACACAGAAATAAATAGCATGCTTTAGCAGAAGCAGCCAGCACCAGTATATTAAAGTAGGAAGTTAAACCAGGAAAGTAAGGAGCCTGTGACCTCTTAGACATGTGCAGGGATTTCATACAGAATGACAAAGGGAGCAGAGGAAACATCTACAGTAAGCTGCAAAGCCAAGCTATGTTTAATTCATCCCAACAAAAACTCTGGCACAGATCATCTGTTACAGAAAGGCAGATACAGCAACTACACAGAGTATCCGCACAGATCATCCGTTATAGAAAGGCAGATACAGCAACTACAGAGTATCAGCACAGATCATCCGTTATAGAAAGGCAGATACAGCAACTACAGAGTATCCGCACAAATCATCCGTTATAGAAAGCCAGCTACTGCAACTACACAGAGTATCCGCACAAATCATCCGTTATAGAAAACCAGCTACTGCAACTACACAGAGTATCCGCACAAATCATCCGTTATAGAAAGCTAGCTACTGCAACTACACCGAGTATCCGCACAAATCATCCGTTATAGAAAGCCAGCCACTGCAACTACAGAGTATCAGCACAAATCATCCGTTATAGAAAGCCAGCTACTGCAACTACACAGAGTATCCGCACAAATCATCCGTTATAGAAAGCCAGCTACTGCAACTACACAGAGTATCCGCACAAATCATCCGTTATAGAAAGCCAGCTACTGCAACTACACCGAGTATCCGCACAGATCATCCGTTATAGAAAGCCAGCCACTGCAACTACACCGAGTATCCGCACAGATCATCCGTTATAGAAAACCAGCTACTGCAACTACACAGAGTATCCGCACAGATCATCCGTTATAGAAAGCCAGCTACTGCAACTACAGAGTATCAGCACAGATCATCCGTTATAGAAAACCAGCTACTGCAACTACAGAGTATCCGCACAGATCATCCGTTATAGAAAACCAGCTACTGCAACTACACAGAGTATCCGCACAAATCATCCGTTATAGAAAGGCAGATACAGCAACTACAGAGTATCAGCACAGATCATCCGTTATAGAAAGCCAGCTACTGCAACTACACAGAGTATCTGCACAAATCATCCGTTATAGAAAGGCAGATACTGCAACTACACAGAGTATCCGCACAGATCATCCGTTATAGAAAGGCAGATACAGCAACTACAGAGTATCCGCACAAATCATCCGTTATAGAAAACCAGCTACTGCAACTACACAGAGTATCAGCACAGATCATCCGTTATAGAAAGGCAGCTACTGCAACTACAGAGTATCCGCAGACAAATCATCCAAGCATATAGAAAACCAGCTACCGCAACTACAGCCAGAGTATCCCGCACAGATCATCCGCTATAGAAAGGCAGATACAGCAACTACAGAGTATCCTCGCCAATAAATCATCCGCTATATAGAAAGCCACAGCTACTGCAAACTACACAGAGTATCCGCACAAATCATCCTGCTATAGAAAAGCCAGCTACTGCAGCCCACAGAGTATCCCAGACAGATCATCCGCTATAGAAAAACCAGCTACCGCAACTACACAGAGTATCCGCGACAAATCATCCGCTATAGAAAGGCAGATACAGCAACTACAGAGTATCAGCACAGATCATCCGCTATAGAAAGCCACAGCTACTGCAACTACACAGAGTATCCGCATAGATCATCCGCTATAGAAAACCACACGTAACTACATTGAGAGTATCCGCACAGATCATCCGTTATAGAAAACCAGCTACTGCAACTACACAGAGTATCCGCACAGATCATCCGTTATAGAAAACCAGCTACTGCAACTACACAGAGTATCCGCACAAATCATCCGTTATAGAAAGGCAGATACAGCAACTACACAGAGTATCCGCACAAATCATCCGTTATAGAAAGGCAGATACAGCAACTACAGAGTATCCGCACAGATCATCCGTTATAGAAAACCAGCTACTGCAACTACACAGAGTATCCGCACAAATCATCCGTTATAGAAAGGCAGATACTGCAACTACACAGAGTATCCGCACAGATCATCCGTTATAGAAAGGCAGATACAGCAACTACAGAGTATCCGCACAAATCATCCGTTATAGAAAACCAGCTACTGCAACTACACAGAGTATCAGCACAGATCATCCGTTATAGAAAGGCAGCTACTGCAACTACAGAGTATACGCACAAATCATCCGTTATAGAAAGGCAACTACTGCAACTACAGAGTATCCGCACAAATCATCCGTTATAGAAAACCAGCTACTGCAACTACACAGAGTATCCGCACAGATCATCCGTTATAGAAAGGCAGATACAGCAACTACAGAGTATCCGCACAAATCATCCGTTATAGAAAGCCAGCTACTGCAACTACACAGAGTATCAGCACAGATCATCCGTTATAGAAAGGCAGATACTGCAACTACACAGAGTATCCGCACAGATCATCCGTTATAGTCAGCTACTGCAACTGCAGAGTATCAGCAAGTAAAGGATAAAGATCGAGTCATGATGAAAGGATATGAAGGATAAAAGCAAGTAGATGAGAAAAAAATCTCGGCTATAAATAAACTATTCCCAATGCCAAATATATGCATATTTTATATTTGCAGAAATAAACCTGAAAATTAAATCTAATAAAACAAGTGCGCTAACTTTTCATCTTTTGTAGAAAAAAAAAAAAAAAACACATTTAGTGATCCTTCGATTTGAAACAAATCTCAGTCAGCCATAGGGTTCTCCTAAGAAAAACATATAGCCACATACAACAGACTTCAGATACAATGTGTGCAGTAAAACATATGGGCTCTATACACAATGTCTTCCTTCAGTATATACAATACGCAAAGCTTACATGGTATTGTTTCCAGTGGCGCCTAACACGATAGTTTATGAAGAAACTCTGGCAGAAGCCACATGATTATTAAGTCAAGAGCGTCAAACATGCAGCAAAGTCTGTGTCACTGGAGATTCTCAATCATAATAAGCAAGAATGATAAAGTAGCTGCACCAACATTGGGTGCATTTGGGGGGTATATTAGAACAAGATGCACCCCCAAGGGCATCGAAACATGAGCCACGGGTGCCAGAGAACAATGGACAATATGGGAGTCCATTCCATGACAAGATCTCTCCACTGCCATTTATCCCATTGTCAGATGTGGGATGCAGAGGACTAAAGAGAATATAAGCAATTCTGGCAGCTAGTTTAACTCCACCCACTGCGCCAGCAGGCTCAGAACTAGTTTTTGCTGCCTTTTACAGTTAACCCACCAACACACTATATACTGGAGCCCTTGTGTTTTTTCATGTCCACATGTTGCCTGTTTTTTTTTTTCTTCCCCAATTCCATTTTTTGGGGCATTATTCCCATTCATTAATATGGCATAGAAGCAGTGGCGGACTAAGGGGGGGGCGGAGGGGGCGGTCCGCCCCGGGTGCCACCTGCTAGGGGGGTGCCTTCACCCTGGTCTTGGGGCTGGAGGGAGTTGTGTGAGCTGTGCCCCATGGTAGCTGGGGTGTCACACAGCTCACACAGAGACCAGCAAGCTTAGCTGGCCGCACGGGAGGAAAGGGGGCGGAGCTATGGATATTTATGGGCGGAGCCTAACCGCGAGCATGGGCTGCTGTTAATGCTGCACATGGAGGTGCAGCAAGACGAAATCCCTGCTGCACCTCCACCTACCAGGCTCCAGGGAAGGACTTCAATGAATCCACTCCTCCAGCCCACACTGTCTGTAAGTATAATAGTGTGTGTGTGTGTAACTGTCTGAAACTGTGTGTGTGTGTGACTGTCTGTAACTCTGTGTGTGTGTGTGTGTGACACTGTCTGTAACTCTGTGTGTGTGTGTGTGTGTGTGACACTGTCTGTAACTCTGTGTGTGTGTGTGTGTGTGTGTGTGTGAGACACTGTCTGTAACTCTGTGTGTGTGTGTGTGTAACTGCCTGAAACTGTGTGTGTGTGTGTGTAACTGCCTGAAACTGTGTGTGTAACTGCCTTAAACTGTGTGTGTGTGTTTGTGTGTGACTGTCTGTAACTGTGTGTGTGTGTGACTGCCTGAAACTGTGTGTGTGTGACTGTCTGTAACTGTGTGTGTGTGACTGTCTGTAACTGTGTGTGTGTGTGTGTAAAACTGCCTGCAACTGTGTGTGTGTGTGTGTGACTGTCTGTCTTGTGTGTGTGTGTGTGTCTGTAACTGTGTGTGTGTGTGTGTGTGTAACTGTGTGTACGTGTGTGTAAGTGTCTGCCTGTAACTGTGTGTGTGTGTGTGCATAACTGTCTACCTGTAACTGTGTGTGTGTAACGGTCTGCCTGTAACTGTGTGTGTGTGCGTAACTGCCTACCTGTAACTGTGTGTGCGTAACTGTCTACCTGTAACTGGGTGTCTGTGTGTTTGTGTGTGACTGCATGCCTGTAACTGTGTGTGTGACTGTCTGTGACAGTCTGCCTGTGACTGTGTGATGCTGCCTGTAACTGTGTGTTACTGTCTGCCTGTGACTGTCTGCATGTAACTTTGTGCATGACTGCCTGTAACTGACTGTGTGTGTAACTGCCTGTAACTGTGTGTGTTTGTGGCTGTAACTATGTGTATGACTGTCTGCCTGTGACGTGTGTGTGACTGTATATGTGACTGCCTGTAACAGTGTGCGTGACTGTGTGTAACTGCTTGTAACTGACTGTGTGTGTGTGTAACTCTCTACCTGTAACTGTGTGTATGACTGCCTGTGACTATATGTGTGACTGTCTGCATATGACTGTGTGCGTGTGACTATCTGCTTGTAACTGTGTGTGACTGTCTGTAACTGTGTGTGAGGGGTGCAGGGATTTTGTAGAGGGGGGCAGGGGTTTTAAAAAGTTTACAAATTTGTTCAATACATTTTTTAAAACATTTAAAAAAATATAACACATTTTAAAAATTTTGTAGGTTTTTTTTTGGAGAAGCGGGGGGGGGGTTCAGGGGGGGTGCCAAACCCAGGACCCGCCCCGGGTGCCACATGCCCTAGGTACGCCCCTGCATAGAAGTACACCCTATAACGAATTAAATAAAGTTAAGACTATGCACATGCCGGTGTTATAGGCTGGACGATGTATAGGTGTTATTGTATATCATGTCATTGTGTTGTATTTACACAACAAAGGTGCTGAAAGTTTTGAAAGGCTCACTTACCATATCTGTAATTTGATCTTTTTTCCTTGTAATTCCACAGTTTTGATCTTGAAGTCTATTCCTGTAAGAGACAAAACAAGTTGGGATTAGTGGCCTTGAAGTGCTAAAGGTAAACAAGGACGATAAATTAACTCAAAGATGCAGGGAATGTAGACACAGCAGGGCTGGGCCTTATACGATCAGAAGAGAAACACACATAATAGGCAACTAAAGCCTCGGTTGCAAGTAAATACAAAATGAATTCTCTAGCAATCCCTAATGGGAATGGTCTACCCCACCCTATATTTACACGTGTTCTTGGACCAGCTTCCAAACTTGTGCTGGAATAAGGGGATCAATGCAGTTAAGCAGCAATACAAGAGAGCCCACTGTTCGGGAACACATACACAACAGAAGGTTTTAATTTACTGCTCCACTGATCCACATTAAACTACATCGTTAAGAAACATATATAAAATGGGACACTAGGCACCATAACCACTTAAATGGTTTGAAGTAGTAATGGTTCCAGGGACAAAGAATGCCAGATCCTACAACAAAATTAAGTAGTTTATTAGTTGAGACAGACATACACTTTTAAGCTTTCTACTCCAAGTGAAACTCCCTAAATATTGCATCAACCTTGATCTTCCCCCAAACCAGAAAGTAGCTTGGCCATGCAGAAACCCCTTATCCTTAGCATTGCAAGGGATAAAGTGTAGTATGGCAGAAAATGTGAGTCCTAAACTGAGATAATTTGTATCCCTGGTCCCCTCACCTATAACTGCCCATGTTTCTGCTTGTTTAGGGGAAGTGCCTGACAAGCAGATTTCAATACTCTGTGCACTGCCTCAGTTCTGCTCAGTATAATGATTCCAGTGAATAGTTCTGATATGAAAGCTGTTAGCTTAAACTACACATCCCAAAAGCCTTTGTTGTACTTCCATCTACAACTGTATTGTTAAAGAAACACTGATGGATAGAGGAAACAACACCTACTTCAGTCCTGTGACCACCAATGAGTACAGGGAGATGGGACAGAACTGGCACAATCAAACTTAGGATGCAGCAAAACTTCAACTATATAAATCAAGCTTTCAAAAAAATAAAAAAATATACAAGTGCACTATTTAGGCTAAAAGCGATAAAAGACGTGTCAGCACAGTGTCCTTTATGTATCTAGGCCATAAAGACTAAGAGTCCAAGTAATTTGTTTCTTTTATTTGCTCTTCGTTAATGTCCGCTGAAATTAAACTAGACATCTACTGGACTGAACCTGGGGATTTATATAGGTGAGCATCATTTCATAAACGTCAAAAACTGACTGGATTGTGCCTCGAATAAAACTATTTCCCTCCGCTATCCAGGCGCAAAATCACCATAGTAAGGGCCGACACAAAAAGCCTCAGCAATAGAAAGCATTAAAAAGGGAGCAGTCTCTTTTCTGGGAATTACATTTTTTGATTGTGCGCCATATTTTTTCGACACACACTGGATTTTACAATCTCTCTGTCACTTTGTCAACCAGAAAAATGTTCTGTTTCATTTCTCTTTTTCCAAATCTAAATTTGGCTAGCTTTGCTAAAACTTGTGTTTGTGGAATTTATGTAGAGAACAGCCAACACTTTTTAGAGCAATTTAATAAATATGACGAGATTAGAGACCAAGAATAAGATAACGGTCAGATCTTTGACAACACTCTTCACGTGGTTTCTGCTTCTCTATATATTGACAGGTGCAAAGGGAGAAGTTTATAACAATGACTGACCGAAAGACAATACAGGGCCTGTGTACACTTCCAGAACAGAAATAACTACAGCACTGCAGATTTGTACATTTATTTATATTTCAGGGACACTTAAATATAGATATGTAAATATACTGAAAAGCCCATGTTGCAACAGTCAACCTAAACCATATCATTTTAACAATGGTGCAAACCCATTCCTGAAACATTAGGGGAATATTTTAGGATAAAAGTGACTATTTCTAAACAAGCAAAAACATTCTCTAAGTAGTATTTTTTTCATTTTATTATTTTTAAAGAATGTGACTTTTGCACGCGTCTAGATGCTGGACCTACTCCATTGCAGCAGCATTGGCAAATAAAAGATCTCGGGTAATCCTGCTCTACTATAGTTTAATAAAAGAAAAATAAATAAGAAATGATCCTGAGGCACACCACGGTTTTGCACATAAAGAGTATTTATTCATCCATAGAAAATACAACAAAGCATCATTGTAGCAGATAGAAAGTGCATAGTATAGGTGTTAAACCACAATGTAAGTAAAGTGCTAAATGCAAAAACCCATTAAAAAAGGTATACTGACCAACCCCAACGTTTCGGCTGTGAAGCCTTCCTCTGGGGGACCTCTCCCTACACAGCCCAAACATTGGGGTTTCATTTTCTCTCTGCTATAATGATGCTTTGTTGTATTTTCTATGCATGAATAAATACTCTTTATGTGCCTTGGGATTATTTCTTATTACATGTATATATCTGGTATGGGAACAGATTCTCTTCCTTTAAGAGCACCCTGTACCTTATAAACCACACACTTATTAGCCATTTTTCAGTAGCTTTTCCTGTAATTTTATGTCTCTACTGTAGTTTAATGAATGATTTATAGATTACCTGTAAATCCCTGCACAGCAAGGATTGATGGGAAATGTAGTACACCTTTCTACAGGAAGAGAAGCACTGCATGAATGTATGCACACACTATGGACCGCTTCAGAATCTCCTTAAAGGAGACAATATAACATAAAAGGTCCATAAAACTACCTAGGACTCCAGGAATGACAACCAATGGAAGATTCAGACAGACTGCTTTATAATATCCAGAATCTCTCTTCTCCATTCACTCTTTCCAAGCTAAATGTGTTTCACTCCAGAGGTTAGGATGCCATCACACAAGAGGTAAATCATGACTGGGGTGACACAAACCCTCACAGGACTTAACCTTGTCTTCTGGCACAAACACCATCTCTGCATTACTGCCCACATCTTACATGGATCATATTTACATCTGTTTGGAATAAAAGACGTGGAGCTAACCTTTGCCATCCCTGGACACAAAGGACATTCCATTCACATTCAAAGAACCTTTTCTTCTCTGCACAATGGCATGCTGGGAGTTACTCGGCAAGACGCATGCTGATTGGCTGCTGACATCACATACTCGCTGTGGCCTTTTCTTAATCAGTAAATTAAGTCAGAGGGTTAGAAAGTGATGTAATCCCCCATGCTAAAAACATTACAGATAAACCCACTGTAACTGGGATAGGTGTACAGCCCATGCTGTGTGATGGTATGCGGATGACTGCCACATATAGGAAGCAGGCCTGGCTGGAATGTGTTTTTAACACAGCTGTCACTCTGTACTGGGTGATACAATACACTCTCAGTGACAAGGACCAGGGGCCACCATGATGGGGCCCTGCAGAGCCTGCACACTCACAATACTTAAAGAGACACTCCAAACAGCAACCCCTTTACTATGACACAATACGCAGAGCACTTTGGCATGCATACCTAAGATTTTCTGAATGCTAGTCAATGGAAGGAAAAGTTTCTTTTTTCGTAAGTGCTCCCCAGACTTCTGGCAGGGTCTTAGTACTTACAGACTGATGGAGAGTTCGTTTCCATACAGGCCTGCCGTACATTCATCTGGGTTTTCCTATAGAAAGAGTGGATTAGGTGTATGCAGCAGGAACATTTCCTGGTGGTTGTATACTGCATACACAATTATAGCAGCCCTGTACAATGGTGAATAACCTCACACACAATTATAGCAGCCCTGTACAATGGTGAATAACCTCACACACAATTATAGCAGCCCTGTACAATGGTGAAAAACCTCACACACAATTATAGCAGCCCTGTACAATGGTGATTAACCTCACACACAATTATAGCAGCCCTGTACAATGGTGATTAACCTCACACACAATTATAGCAGCCCTGTACAATGGTGATTAACCTCACACACAATTATAGCAGCCCTGTACAATGGTGAATAACCTCACACACAATTATAGCAGCCCTGTACAATGGTGAATAACCTCACACACAATTATAGCAGCCCTGTACAATGGTGAAAAACCTCACACACAATTATAGCAGCCCTGTACAATGGTGAATAACCTCACACACAATTATATGCAGCCCTGTACAATAGTGAATAATATCCCACACAATGGCTTTGATATCATGTTAACAAGCCATGTAACATGGGCTTGGCTTCTAAAAGTGATATGTGATAACATGGAGCAATGTAACTGCTGACATCATGCTGTACCCGATATGTCGTAAGTCATAGTAAGGACAATCTGGCGGGGTCACAATCCCACACACACAGGAGAAGGGCAGCAGGATCCGGCTGATTTATTAGGATACACAGTAACATCAAACCTGCTGTATCCCAATAAATCCGTAAAAGGGACATCACATATGCCGGATTACTTTCTCCTTCTCCAGGTCATACCTGCTATGGCACTTGCTAAGTGTTATCTTGCACAGCAGGTAGGAACAAAGTACAGAATTTATCATTAATTGTAGAAAAACCCATAATTATGAGCTTACACCTTGGGAGTCATGCATAAAAAGTTTCTGCTCTGAAAAGTGAAAATGGAGAGTCACCAATGCAATGTGCCTGCTCGTTCTACTGATTTCCACGGTGACAGCCAACAACTTTTAGTTGTTTAGATCGCTTTTCATAAAAAAATATTTCATATACATAACCACGATCAGCTTGATCATCTTCCTAGAATTTATCATGTTTACTTATCCTGCATATTTAAAAAAAAAAAAAATAGGTTTGGTATTTGAAAGATGAAATTATAAGTAAAAATCAAAATGCTGCATTCCTTTATCTTGGCTCACTGTCAATCAATGTTATAAGATCTGTCCTTTACAGCTGTCAGATGGCAATGTGGGCCCAGGACTGAACTAGGCCGTGATGCCATTTGCTAAATCCCTAAAAAAAGAACATTGTATAACTAAACGTGAGACATAAAAAAAGTTTGCATACGTATTGCACATGTACTGCAATCAATGTGCTCCGCCAATCAGATTCTACTAGCTAAGGCTAGATAAACCCGGCATTACAGATTGCCCCCGGCTAGATAAACCCGGCATTACAGATTGCCCCCGGCTAGACTGCCCCTGACCAAGTTCTTTGACACAGAGTGCCACACTGCAAGCTGTCCGTTATCTGTGCAGTGTTGGTGCAAAGCTATTCACTACACAGAGCTGCCTACGACCATGAGGTACATACAGAAAGGATCTGAGGAGTGCCATGACAGGTGTCTTACAGAAGCTATAATTAACCAGAAAAGGGACAACCAATTCACAGCAAGCAGTTAACACGGTGCATTGCAGCATACAGCGCTACAGAACATGTTGGTGCTTTATAGATAATTCAGGAACCTGGAACTAGTGAAATAAAGCCGTAATGGGCTTAGACTCTAAGCCTTAGAGGAATCCTCGATGGACAGCAGCTGGTAAGGCCACCCTGTACATGCTCTGCTTACCACACATGCAAAGAGATGCCGCAAACTGAGCATTTCAATGACCGTGATGTAATCTGAATTCGCTCTTTGTCAATAACATATACAGAATGCATCGACTGATGGCATAGAATTCAGAGAACCTCGGCATGCGATGTTAAAAATAGATTCAGGCGGTGGGACAGGAAGTTTAATTCAGCTCTGAGTATCTCAAACTAGGCCTTCCCTCTTTAGTAATCTGGAGAAAGTTACAAGCCACTACCTGTCTACAGGTAAATACATGGTCTCCGCTTCAAACAAACCTGGCAAGATCGCTCCATGCGGACACACCCGAGTCGTTTAGATCTGCCCGTGGTACACACCCAGCCAGACTGCAATCAATCTCAGTCACCAGGCTTAGTACATACTGTATCAGATTCCTGTAACAGCTATTAATAAACCACTGTTCTGGGGGCTTCTCACTTGTATAGTCACAGGTAACACTGTGTGCAAGACACCATTGCATTTAGGACTAATTTAGGTAATTATTTTCCAGGAAAGATTCCTAATTTAACGATGTGTCGGCAGAAATCAGAAAATCTCTTGGTACTAACAGCATGGCATGCAATCAACAAAGCACAAGCTAAAGTACCGCGTCTGACACTTCTACCAACTGGCAAGAATGGAAGACATTTTAAGGAACATATCCAGAGCTAGTATGAACAAAGCCCATTCTTGGAGACATCTCTGTGTACATAAATGAGGTGTCATGGAGTAGAGGTGACATTCTCACAGCAGTCATTGTAATCACATGCACATTTACCAAGGGTTTCATTTCTCTCAACTGCTTCCTCTACAATAAAAACAATTTAACTACTTTTGAAAACATTAAATCTCATACTTCCCCTTGAAATATATACCCAAGATCAGATAACAGGGGTCACAAAGCACTGGGGCACCATCTTCAGAAAGCAATGAAAAGTAATACATCCTTCACAGTACCGCTTTAAGTACGCATCTACAACTTGTTCAGAGCGCTCTCAACCCCTACAGAGATCTAACTAAATGACAACTTGTTCAGAGCGCTCTCAACCCCTACAGAGATCTAACTAAATGACAACTTGTTCAGAGCGCTCTCAAACCCCTACAGAGATCTAACTAAATGACAACTTGTTCAGAGCGCTCTCAAACCCCTACCGAGATCTAACTACATGACAACTTGTTCAGAGCGCTCTCAAACCCCTACAGAGATCTAGCTACATGACAACTTGTTCAGAGTGCTCTCAAACCCCTACAGAGATCTAGCTACATGACAACTTGTTCAGAGCGCTCTCAAACCCCTACAGAGACAACTTGACAAATTGTTCAGAGAGGTCTCAAACCTAACAGAGATCTAGCTACAAGACAACTTGTTCAGAGCGCTCTAAAACCCCTACAGAGATCTAACTAAATGACAACTTGTTCAGAGCGCTCTCAAACCCCTACAGAGATCTAACTAAATGACAACTTGTTCAGAGCGCTCTCAAACCCCTACCGAGATCTAACTACATGACAACTTGTTCAGAGCGCTCTCAAACCCCTACAGAGATCTAGCTACATGACAACTTGTTCAGAGTGCTCTCAAACCCCTACAGAGATCTAGCTACATGACAACTTGTTCAGAGCGCTCTCAAACCCCTACAGAGACAACTTGACAAATTGTTCAGAGAGGTCTCAAACCTAACAGAGATCTAGCTACAAGACAACTTGTTCAGAGCGCTCTAAAACCCCTACAGAGATCTAGCTACATGACAACTTGTTCAGAGCGCTCTCAAACCCCTACAGAGACAACTTGACAAATTGTTCAGAGAGGTCTCAAACCTAACAGAGATCTAGCTACAAGACAACTTGTTCAGAGCGCTCTCAAACCCCTACAGAGATCTAGCTACAAGACAACTTGTTCAGAGCGCTCTCAAACCCCTACAGAGATCTAACTAAATGCAACTTCCAGACAGGTGGATGGCTCCCACACAGGACCAGTGCAATTACAGTGTTGACACTGCACAGTACATGCAGCAGACTGTAAGCTTCAGTTGTGAGATACTTCCTGTTTTATAGAATTTAACAGTTTACACCTGTAACCAACTAAGAAAATAACTATTAAATGAAAAAATAAAGTAAGTTTGTGAAACCAAGTGGAAGCAGAGGTGTGATGAATGATTTGTAACGCTGCTGTTATATTTATTCAGTGTGTTATAAAAAGGCTGTGTACACTGTGAGTATTAATAGCTGTATCCATATAATATAGAGATAGGAAGGTTTAATAATGCTGTGTACACTGTCAGTGAGTACTAATAGCTGTATCCATACAATACGGAGATAGGAAGGTTTAATAAGGCCGTGTACACTGTCAGTGAGTACTAATAGCTGTATCCATATAATATGGCGATAGGAAGGTTTAATAATGCTGTGTACACTGTCAGTGAGTACTAATAGCTATATCGATATAATATGGAGCTAGGAAGGCTTAATAAGGCCGTGTACACTGTCAGTGAGTACTAATAGCTGTATCCGTGTAATATGGAGACAAGAAAGGTTTAACAAGGCCGTGTACACCGTCAGTGCGTACCAATAGCTGTATCCGTGTAATATGGAGAAAGGAAGGTTTAACAAGGCAGTGTACACTGTCGGTGAGGACTAATAGCTGTGTCCGTGTAATATGGAGATAGAAAGGTTTAACAAGGCTGTGTACACTGTCGGTAAGCACTAATAGCTGTGTCCGTGTAATATGGAGATAGGAAGGTTTAATAAGGCCATGTAGACTGTGCTCACTGACAGTGTACAGAGCACTGATAGGAAGGTTTAATAATGTTGTGTACACTGTCAGTGAGCACTAATAGCTGTATCTGGTAATATGGAGATAGGAAGGTTTAATAATGCTGTGTACACGGTCAGTGAGCACTAATAGCTGTATCCATGTAATATGGAGATAGGAAGGTTTAATAAGGCCATGTACACGGTCAGTGCGTACGAATAGCTCTATCCGTGTAATATGGAGAAAGGAAGGTTTAACAAGGTCATGTACACTGTCAGCACTAATAGCTGTATCCATATAATATGGAGATGGCTGTGTCCGTGTAATATGGAGATAGGAAGGTTTAATAAAGCCGTGTACACAGTCAGTGAGTACTAAAGGTTGCACAGCTTTTCACTCTCAGATTATGTTGACAAAAGACGTAAAACAGCTCTTGTTGCACACTATTGTTATATTCTGTTTCTCCCGCATTGTCCTGTTTTGCTCAGTGTCTGCAATATTGCTCATATGATCTGTCATGACACAGACTGTTTACTTGATAAATATTAGTCAAATTTTTCAAAGTTAATTATCATCACTATGAAAATCTGTCAGACAGTATCATCCCCTGCCACAAATCATGTCCACATTAAAGGCCAGCCAATACTTATACAGCTAGCCACGTGGTCTATACATATTACAGCTACTGGAAACACAGGGGTAAAACAAGCTCACTGATGGGAACACGCGTGTAAACATGTATGTGAATGGTTCATGTGGATTCTTATCAATTAATTCTTAACAAAGATACACGTGAGTTAGGAATATTCGGACCAAGTCATGGTGGTGGTAAGATTTGTAACAGGGAAATGTATGTGATGCTTCACGTGACATGACGTTTTTTACCCACGTGCTCAGAAGATCTTGGCTTTACGTTTTGTAGGGAGCATGGGGTTTATAACTTCACCCCCATAATTTCAAAAAGAATTAGACATCACAGGACATGTACACCTATACTCTGCATACTCCCTTGAGCTTTAATCACTTAGCTTCTAAGAGCTTGTTCCTGATACGCTCTCCTTGAGAAGGGGTCTTCCCCACACGGTCCTGGAGGACAGAAGCTGATCCGGTGTGGAAGGAAGACGGCGAGAATCCAGTTAAGCTACGGAGGTTGTGGAGTCTGCTGTGTTTGTGGTGTCTGGTGCGGTGTTTGTGGTCCTCGGCGCAGGCTAGGAAGCGTCCATCAATGGAAGGTACTCTGTCGGAGTACAGGGAGTTCCGTTACACTCCCAGCCATCGTTTTTACTTGGTGCGTGGAGACACCTGTTCACTTTACAGACCAAATTCCAGGTTTTATAAAGTGAATGAGACAGGCTCAAATTCAGACAACACCACACATACATAAGTGCTGTTATTCCTCCACAGATGGCAATGTGCAGATAGGAGAGGGATTATTGCCCAATAATTTGCCTCGGAGGATAACTTGCACAGATAAAAGGTTTTATTTACTGTAATACAATAAATATAAAACTAGCTCTAAGTCTACACTAGAGTGGCCTTTCAAACCAAGCAATGTACAATATTCTCAAATTGTAGCTGGTACACTTATACACTTTATACTGCGTTTACAATATACAGCATATGTTTAAATGTAACACATCACCTCAATTACTTTGCAATCAGTTCCATATATAACTGTGAATGTTGTACAGAGCTCTGTCATGTCACAGCTACTTGTACTTCAGTTCTTGTTCCCTTTTAAAGTTGGGTAGGAGGGGGCAAGATGTTGGCTACAGGCTATATTTAAATCCCGTGCTGACCTTGGCGTCTGCCTAACCTCATTGCGTGTGACGTGTACACACATTCGTTTCCCTTTCCCAACTTGGCTCAGGACTCGACATTAGGTACAGAGAAGAGTAAATGGGATATTAACTGGAGCATTATGAAAAGTTTCACATTAAAACTAGATGATTGTATTTTCCTCTTATATTGCTTTAGAGATTGTTGTATATACTGGTAGGCACATTTGGGAAATTACAAAATGTTAGAGCTCTTTTCAGTCCAAGTATCCGGTTTGAAAATGTTAATTTCTTTAGATTCCCAACAATTCACATAGTGATTAACAATGATTTGCGCACTCCTCGCAAATCCACTGCATCCTTAGTCCCCCAAATCCCTGGTATTTTTTTAAAACAGGTCCATATAAACACTAGTGATCGGCCAATATAGATTTTTTTAGAGCCGATACCGATAATCTGTGAACTTTCAGGCCGCCGATAACTTACTGATATTCTGTACATTTACCATTTAAAAAATAAAATAAAAAATAAAAACATTTCTACACAAATCTAACTGAACCAACGTATTTATTTTTTTATTAAGGTAAATGCACAAAATATACGTCAGTCAGAATTATTTATGTTTTCAAGAATGTGTGTGTGTGTGTGTGTGTGTGTGTGTGTGTGTGGTGGGTGCAGAGTGAGTGCGGCGTGCGTGCGTGCGTGCAGAGTGAGTGCAGTGCGTGCATAGTATGTGTATAGTGAATGCAGTGTGTGTGTTTTTTGTAGA